CAATTATAGTAATTAATGTCCCAAATTACAGTAAACGGCAACATGATTAGAGCTCAGAAATGTGCTTATATCCCCCCAAACAAAAAATAGTTTTCATCAAAATGAAGACTTTGTGTTCTGCTTGTTCCTACCTGATCTGTCTTCTCTGTGGCTTTACTCAATAATATCAACTCAATGCGAAATATGTTCACACCTAAAACAGTGCCAAACCTTTATCTGGAGAGTTCTCACAGAAAGGAGATCCCCACCTCACCACCAAGCCAAGAGGAAGTTAAGCTTTTTTTTTTTCTTCTCTTAATTTTGAGATCAATACGTCTCTGTTTTTCTTTAAGCCACTGAAAACAGCAGCTTCCTTGAGGTAAAGTTTGCTTGGCTGGGGAAATTTCCTGTGCTGGATGATTTGTCTCGGTGACCTCACTGTGCACTCCCCAAAGGGAGAGCAGGCATTTTGCCTCTGGACTAGTGTGACTGTACACTTATGTCTGCTTTCCTAAGGTTTTCACATGTAGAGATATGACCAACAGGCTATTTGTTCAAATCATTGAGGAAATTTTTAAGACTCGGTGAAATTATGCTCGTTGACCCAGAATTGCTGAGCACCTCATCCCTCAGTCACATTCAGAATAGCTTGTTTTTGTTCATAATAATATAATCATTTGTATCGAAGAGAAATCAAGATACCACAGATAAAAATGTCCCTACTCAGCTTGTTATTTTTTCACATTAGGGAGCATTACTTAAACTGGGCGATTTTAAATTGCAACAGGAGAAAAAAGCATGATGTTGAACATTTAACAGAAATAAAGGTGAATTTAACCACTACAAATACTTTATTGAGCTGTTTAAGTTGGGCTCTTCAATAATCTCTCTAGTTTTAACCCTTGCTATAAGCCTTTAGTGAGCACTGGCTGAGGTGAATCTAAGTCAGTTGTTGAGTTTTACTACTACTTACTACACTAAATTGAGAATTTTCAGTCATTCACATTTGCTCGTTCTGTTTTGACTTCCTGGCTCTGCTGTCACACACACGGAGCTGTGTGTGATCAGGAAAGGGAGGTGAATCAAAGCAAAGACTCAGCATTATATATTGGTTTCCTTTGCCTTTTTTATGAATTGGCACTATGTGAACACGGCTATTATTCATCTGGTTGATTTGGACTAAATCAGATTATATTTCATCAGACTGAGCTGAACTTGTCAGTTCTTTGTTTGGAGAGGCATGAGATTGCACAGCTTGTGGACTGCTGTTCAAGGAACTAAAAAATAAACCCAGCCAACAATCTTTTGGGGGGAGATGGTCATAAAATCAGACTTAGAAGCCACACCTCCTGTATGTGCGCCGCATGCTTCGTTTTCAAAAAGGCTGAGTTCAGCATTTGCGAATATTCACTGGAAGATTTCAAAATAACAGCTTTTGTTTTTAATAACAGGAAACGACTACTATGAAATTGTTTACAGACACTGATACTAAAAAGTCTGTGGAGTAATGCTTTTGTTTGTGCATCTGTCAGTAGCAACGTTACAGTGAAACAGATCGGCCACCAGATAAATCATCAAGAGATAATTTAAGCAAACCATCACCTTTATTTGAGATAATTCATCATCTGTTTTGCTCTGAGCCTTGGATCTGTAAAGCCCAAGTCTTTTCATGTCACAGGCAGCTAATTCATTACTGACACACAAAATGATGAAAGCAGCTGAAGGTTCTGTTAGCAGCCAGTTTTTCACAGCATTCATCAGTCACCTCTCAGCAATGAAAACACAAAACTCACCCAGGATTCCTCAGTGGATGAATGACGACCTGTTGCACTCTTTCCAAATCCGTCTGCACACATCCCTGAAGCTACAGCTCATGGTTGCATCCGCTCCGGGAGTTTGAATTCAGCACTGTCACTTTTTTTTGTTTTCAAATGAATTCTGCATCGCTGTCTGGCACACAGATTCAGAAATTCCTGAGTGTTGCACAAGTTGAATACAACCTGTTTCTTATGAAGGCTTCCATTTATCTGCTGGATCTCTCCGGGTGATAAACTGCAACAGCTGCTGCTGATAAAAGACATCAGAACTGTCTCCTCTCCACCTCTCTGTTAGCCTGGATAAGAAGTCACTTTTACTTTAAACAGTTATACAAAGGAGAAGTTTCAGTCTCAGAACTACAAGAGGGCATGTTAATGGCTCATTTGCCACCTACTAGGATGTTTGACTGTTTCTTTCTAATACTCGTTCTCCTTCCAACCTCCTTTTGTCTTTTCATTTCTATGCTGTGGCTCATTAATCCACCATAACATCCAGAGAACCTGACTGCCAAAGACTATTTATAGATAAAGACAAGCAAAGAGATGATGTTTTTTTCTTCTTATCTTTGTTTCAGTTAGAATCACACATCATTTGCTGTATCTCTTTTGAGAATATGATGCTTTTATACTCCTCTCATCCATTGTGTCCAGCAGCGTTGGAGTAGAAGTGATGTAAAACATATAAATCACAAAAAGAAGTGGAAAAGGAGAATATTAAACATGCTCAGCTAGACAGAATGTTATTTATAAGTTGGATTCTAATGTTGAAAAGAAAATCTGAAAAAAACTAGATGGGTGGAAACAAAGGATGACCGTTTCCCTACAGCTGAAGAGTAATTCATTCTTGTTGTCTTTGAAATGAGTAATCACCTATTGAGTCTGGACTGAGGCAGAGTTGTGCACTGATAGAGCTCCATAGAAGCGTATTTTGATTAAATGGGATTTTTAAGTTTATAGTCTCAACAGATGGGACGTGGGGTCAGCTGGTTTGTCTAAATAGTTGCATCCGTGCTGTGTTTGTGTTCATATGTTTTCCCAATCTGTTATGGATTTAGGCCAGGCACAGAGGCAAGGGAAGGCAAAATATAAGGAAATGCAAAGAGGCAATAAAAAACACCAATCAACTTTTGGATACAGAGAAAAAATCTTGTCATTTTGAAGAGAAGTTTTGATCTAATCTGTTGATAAGTATCTTATTGAGCTGTGACAGCAAGGCTTGGTACATAATTTTGAGAGATGGATACTAGAAAAATCCAGATCCCTGGTGCATTGAATGACTACTCTGCATGTCTCCTTCTGAGTATTAGCCAGGCCCCAAATCTGTCTACCTGTTGGTGGAGCCGGCAACCTGTCGCCAACTTGAAACAGCTGCTTGCAGCCTCTGGATGAACAGTAATCAGTACTCATTATAGCTGTGAGCAAAATGTTGCTCAGTGAAACAAAAACGATTGCTCTGCAGGTCTGAGGGCAAGTGCTGACTTGAGTGATACGCAACAGTAGTTTAATCACTGTCTGAGCCTTTCTTTGATGCTCATTAAGTAAATTAAATTGCACTTCATATTAGAATTAAACTGAATACATATGTTGAGCAGGATAAATGAGGTTATGACACATAGCAATATGCGTTTGGTAATTAGCGCCCATGTTCCATGGTGCTTTGTTGTTTTTTTACATCATATTTTCCCTGCAGCAAGGGCTGAGTAAGGAGGAATTGTAGCTTTCCCGTAATTAAAAGTTCCCTTTTTTGTTTACATCACATATCTGTAAAGCGGTCTAAAGCATTCTACCTCAATATATCAAAACTGAACTGAAATGGATGAGGTAAACATTTTTGATAGTGCAAAAAAAGAATAAACCCTGAAATTTAGAAGATTTGTTACGTAAACATAAACAGAGTACAGTGGTGGTTTGGATGTTTTAGCAACACACATACCCTCCATGCCCCATCTGGCAGACAAACAAACCCGATCGCTCTCAGGCGCAGGTTTTTGCATGCTGCATACCTGCATGAAGAGTGTCTGTTTTTACGACATTCCCACTAACCGCTGATAAACTGACAGATTAATTGCCATAAAGCCTGTCCTTAAAAGAATCTTCCCAATTGCCTGTCTCAGCTTGCCTTGCCAATTGAAAACAGTTGTTCTGGTATAAGACTTTGGGAGTAAACAAACCCTTTAAGACCCTGCAGAATGGGGGTCCTAATATGGAGCTGTTTTGTTCGGCGGTGATGCAAAGAGGAGAGGAGAGATAGGTTGATTATCAGGGATTACTGTTCTCCAGCACCGTGAAACTAAACAGAATGCGGAAGATTAGGTGATTGTCCTATTTCTGTAGCTAAGTTATGTGTACAGCTGGCACATGCTCTCAGCAAACATCAGACTGAGATCAATCATAACACTAAGACTCCTGTGAGAAATCGCAGTGTGTCCTACCATAAATATATTGCTGTGTCAAAAATAGACTAACTATTACTTTCAGAAAAAAATAGGACAGTGAACTTCTTCAATTTGAATATAATAACTTCACACCTTTACATCTTTATGCTAACACACTACAGCGGATTTGATCTCAGCCGATTTAATGAAATGATTATGTAATGTAACGTCTTTTTCCAAGAGAGCTCAAATGTAAGGACAATTCTCTTGTTTTAGAGTTGTTGTGATACTTAACATGTAGTTACTCCTTTGATCACTGGCGGTCCTCTGTTCTTTAAATGTATCTATATATCATCACTGCCTGCATGAAGAACCCACTAAAGGAGGTGAGTAGTCACCAAAATCCTTCCTTTGGTTATTGTTACATTTCAATCTTGACAAAATTGAGGAAAAATAAACTAATGACATCATGGATTGAAAGAATGACGGAAGAAGTTCCGATCTGGTTTTATTTTTTGGCTTACTTTGAACCTATTCCCATTAATTAGACCTATTCTGAACACAAATACCTACAATACGCATGGTTAGTATCTGCCAAAGTCTAAAAACGGTAGAGATCTTTCCCTGGAACAGCAATCTGATCAATGGCAGATGTTGTAAGTGGACAAAGTCTATTTTGGAACAAGTCTGGTGAGATTTACAGTACACCTCTGCAGCTCTCCAGTCAGCCTACCATGACTGGAAACCAAACAGACAGGCGAGCACAAGTGTGTTCAGGGCTGAGGGTGTTTAGTTTCAGTGCCACACAGCGGTTCAGTCTCTCTTTGTCTTCCTCACGGTCTGTCAGACATGCTGGGCTGCAGCCCGTCCAGCTGCAAGTTCACCAGCTAAACAGAGGGACCAGTGCAGGGCTGCAGGGCTGCAGGGCTGCAGGGCTGCAGCCCTCCCACACCAGAGTGCATGTAACCAATAAAGCAGACGCAGCCCTGCGAGGCTCAGTTTTTCGCCCCGCTCACAGTCTCTGTCTTCACACTCTCAGCGTGATACAGCTGAGTGGGTGAAAAAGGACGGGAGGAGGAGAGTTAGAGGGGAGAGGCAGCCACCCTCCGTCGCTGTGGCCAGGCTCTGAAGCAGCCCGGGCAGATATTCTTGGCTTGGATGCAGCGCTCATGACAGGATTAGGAGCCTGGGACACGGGACCAACCGGAGATCTGCAGGTTCTAGCGGACGAACCCGAGCCAGATTCTCACCCTGCACGGGTAGGACGGAAACCTCTAGCAATATTTGACAAAAACTTTCAGTTGTGAGTGCTGCCTGTAACAATGCAGCTGAGCTGCAACTAACCTTCAATAATGACACTTCTATTTGAACATATATATCAAAAGATTCTCTGACTGTGTTGGGCTTGCACTTAAAGTTCTTGCAAAAATAAATAAGCAAAGGGCTGAAATAAGGACACTGTTAATGCATATGTGAGATATGACGCCCCTTTTAGCTGCTTTGTCTCTTTCACATTGCTGGTTTGTGCTGACAGCTAATAAATTCACAATGAAAATATACAACTGGCTCTGGTTAAGACTTACCAAGTGCTTCATGATGAGTCAGGTGGCAAAAAATGTGTCTGGCATTTGATAAAGTATCTTGACTTGGGGGTCTTTAGCACAAACACAACTCCATCACAAATGTGGACCAATTTATTAATTGTTTAAAATATATATACATCTCAAATGTCTCCAGAAAAAAAGTTTATTTGTATCATGTCTCACATCAAATGCGTCCTTAATGCTTTTCCTGTTTAACTGGTTGGTGATGACACTAGCAGTGATATAAAGAGATAAGGACCTATTCTTTCAGTGTGAGGGACTTATTTATCCAGTTGGGGTATCTTTTACTACACAGAATTAATTCTGGGCAGGGAAACCCACCGGATGATTCATGCTGACTGAACACAGCCAGTTAACTGGATCATATAAAGACAGAGCAGTTGGCTGTGTTTGGTTACATTTCTAAAGTTCCTCGGAAAAGATTACACAAACTTACAGCGTGCTTTGCTACACAGTTGCTGAGTGCCTCCACGGCATGTTTTGCTGTGTTGTCCATCTGCACAAAGCTGCATGTATCTGTGCAGTATTACGGTAAATCCCAAACCCTTAAATGTGCAAAGCTGGAGCTGCATGTGGTTTCACCCTGGAATTCTGCACAGAGAAAAAAGGGGGGGGAGAGAAACTTGTTGACTTGCAAGTTTAGCCTGACTTCAAAGCGCACGAGACCCTTAAACTGAAGTTTCTGCTGTTTCAGCCCACCGCGGTTACAGTTAATCAATGTTCTTTGTAGTATTTGTGTGTGTTTATCACTCAAATGTGTGTGGCACCGGTCCAAACTGGTCAGCGCTGCTGGAAGTTGGGGGTTGATGTTATGTGTGTGTGTGTTTGAGCTCTGTTTTACATCACACGACAGCGCGTTAACTCCCTGGTTCTAATGAGGCAGACTGCTGACACTCCAGCTCGTTGATAGAAAAATAATGAACTAAAGTAGATAACTAGAATTTAATGGTTGGATAAGAGTGAGGAGACCCATGTCTGTCAAAAACTCAACATTTTGTGTGTAGTGAACACTGACCCACTCCAGTGTTAGTGGGAGACAGCTTTGTGTACGCTCTTTTGGATATTTGGACACCAGAGAATGACAGAAACAGGATTTCTATTGATAGAGGAGCACAAAAAAGGGCAATAGTGTGGTTCGGTTTTTATCAGAAAAGTTCACCCTCTAGTGTTTATTTTTGTGGGCGCAGCACTTCTGACCCCCTCTGGAAAACTCAAGTGTTGTTTTCTTTTTCTAAACTTTATGTGTGTATGCATATGTCCCCCCTTCCCTTTCCTGTGCTGCAGAGGTAAAGTTATCTGGTTTCAATTAGGCTCTCAGGGATGTCTGAGGGTCCTCTCTTGCATTCACTTTACATACAAAGAAACAGTTTGTCTCTGACGCCATCTCATCCTCTGCTGCAGAATTACAGTTTGTCATTGTGTTTCTTTACATTCTCCCACTTAGTGCAGTTACTTCTCTCTTGAATCCTTCTCTGTCGTTTTTTTTTGCTGACGGGACAGACTCTCAGGCACATGGACACACACAGTGTGTCTAATCCCAAAAGAAACAAAGTAAGGCGAGTGCACGGTGAGTCTTTCTGCCATGTGAAATTCACCCTCACATTTTCTGTCTGTACGTATGCAGCTAAATGTCGCACTAACTGATTGACGGCCTCACTTTGGACGCTGGATGAAAGATTAACTTTTTTTCTCACATTTTTATGCAAGCAGTGGGAAGAAAAAGCTCATTCTTGTTTTTACAGCCTCCCCTCCTTGTTCTCGCTCTCCCTCTGTAACACAGTTGCCCCTTGTGTTCCTGAACTGTTTCCTCTGGATGCCTGAGCTCTTTCCGTCTCCAGTGGCTTGTCCAGTGTTACTGAAGCATGGGCATCTTCTGTGAGCAGCCAAAAGCAAGTAGCAACTTAGCAGTCCGGTTGCTTTGTCTTTTTGAGACTGTGATGAATTAGATAAGATTTTGATTAATTTATAGATATGCTGGAGGTCTGCCACACCTCTGACTTTCCATTTTTTGTTATGAGCTTAGTAAGTTAGGAATACCTATGTACCTTTATGACATAACAATGCCTCTGCTGTGATTGTGACAGAAAATGTTGAATTTCAAACTGAAGTGTCTTCATTTTGTCTAGCCCATTGTTGTTACTGAAAAAGTTACTTCCTCCTCTGTGATCAGCAAAATGTCTCATGAAACCAAACATGCCTCTGCTTGGCAGAGGGGTTTTTCCTTTAGCTGAATATCTCTGACATTTCCCGCTGAGGTTTTACCATCAAACAAAGTCAAGCCCCATCTTGTCTTCACATAAATGCATTTCCTTACATGTATTAATGCTCTTTGTGCAACCCTGCCTCCAAAAAGGTGGTAAAAGGGCTGACATGACAATTTCATAAACCAAACTTTTCTTCATGAGAGAATCCAAACATTACTTTGTGTGGGAAAGTGCTGCTATTTCATGAAAAATATTTGCTCAACCTAAATTTAATCTCTATTCAAATTACTCATGCATGTTAATGAATAAATGACTGAATTTCACTCAAATGTACACACATTTGCTTCAAATGTCCATCTTAATGCATATTTGGGGTAAAAACATACTCTGCATATATGTTAAAAAAGCAATTAAACATCACCTCAACATTTATAGAGAATCTCTTAAATTGGCGTCCTTTTGCTTCTCTCACTCCCTGAAACTACTAGAGTGAGTGTGGTACCATGTTTATGTTGGAGCCCAACCTGTCTGCATGTCCTCTGGTCTGATGAGACCAAATGATCCGTTTGAGCCCTCACAGACTATGCAGAAGTTAAACCCACACTCAGACAGGCGGCCTTTTTTAAACCAGTATGCCAGATTCTGTGCATATATACATATTCTATTATTTTCCTTTCCTTGTAACTATACTGTATGCAGTCTGCATGTGTTTTATTTTTCATATGTTTGGAAGTTCAAATCCAGTTTTTGGCCTAGTCTAGGGTCCCTTAACTCTGTAAAAGCAAACTATTACAGTCAGATATTATAGGTATGTGTTCTACAGCGAGAAGTATCCATCTTATAATTGAACTCTTCGCTAAACAACATAAAAAGTGTGTAGAGATAGATGCAATGTGCAGACACTTAACAGCATATGGCTGGAGATTAAACTGAGTTTATGTACAAACCAACAAAAAGCAGGAAAACCAAAACTAGACTCGAGCAACCAAAATACTCCAAAGAAACCCATGAAACGGGGAACAGAATGGAGACAACAGAAATTAAACCAGTGACAACTTATGAGGATCTGACAAAAAGTGAGAGACACCAGGCAGCTGAAAATCAGACAAGAGTGACGGCTGAGTGGAAGCAGCTGAGGATATTGAACTGATGACCAGAACAAAAGCAAACCGAAGGACTAAGGGTCAGAGTGACAGGATCTATAATAGAAACCAAGGGGGAAAAAAATGGGAACATAAAACCAAAAGAATGGCAAACTGAGCAAAACACCATACTTGAAAAAGCAAGGCAGCCAAGGAAAAGTCCACAAAAAACAACAATCATGAGAGAGATGGTCAACAGCGGGCACAGAGTCAGACCAAACATCCAGTTTTATTTCACATATGTTGCTCAGTGACTTGTGACTGAGAGCACAATTATTCCAAGTGATTACTGTCTACGCTGTCTTTACACCGACATGGAAATCCATTCAAAATTAATTCCATCTTTACATTCACTCAACACTCTCAACACTGATGACATAATGCTGTTCTCACTGTCACAAGTCCATCTCTTTGAGGAGCTTCCAGGAGCTGCTGTCTGACTGTGCTTTGCTCACGTGTCCAGACAACAAATCTCAGCAAAGAACTATTTAAAACCTGCTTAATCCCAACAAAATGACCTCAGCATTTAACCCTTGTATCCCCTCCTGGGATCATTCATAGCTCGATTTCAACAATGACTGACCCCTGGGAGGGCACAGGAGGGTTAAACTGTAGAATTAAAGTAGATCTCCTTGGTTTGCAGCTGTAACCTTCTTCTTGTTTAGTTTTGGGTGTGTTTCACAAAGGCCTTAGACTCTTCCCACAAGTTTATTTTTACTCAATCCAAACTGAGAGATATACAGATCCCACATTTTATGTCCAGACCAAAACTTTCTTCTGGATGGCAGTGGTAGCAAAATAGTCTGCACGGTGGTTCCTGGGGAATTATGTGACCACAGCTGTGAGGACCTTCTGCTGGCACTTTAATGAGAAAGGGATACAGTTCTTTTTTAGAATGCTTTGGGTTGGCATAAACTGACCAGTGGGTGCTTGGGTGGGAAATAATACTGCACTGGGAGGACTAATTTGGGCCTGGTATGACCACATGGTCTGCTTCAGAGATGGCTTTGGCCTGCGTGAATCTGTCATGGTCACAGCTGGAATGTGTGTTGAATAAGGCGGGCGGACCCACAGTCCTCTAAGAGGGAGAGGACATTTCCTACTGGGCAGCCGTGACGGTTCACTGACCATAGAAGAAGAAAATAACATGTGGTTGCATCTTTTAACTTGACACTTTTAAAAAGGAACAACTTCCAAAAATCATTTTATTACCCAAGCATCTTATTTCTCCAGACCGCTCTGTTTAAATGCAATTCAACAGAAATGTATTCATTGGTCTTGGAAACCCGGAAATTTATGAAAGATGTGAAAAATTGTGCTTTCTCCTCTTTTCCCAGCAAGCTGCATACCATGGTGTTAAGTAGGCAAAAACAAACAGGCTAAAAAACCTGTATCTTCATGTACACACTCAGTATAATCTGGACACATCTGAGTAAAAACTCCAGCTGTATTTAGCCAAATGTTCATTTGATCATAAGAGTTGTGTAATGTAAAAAGCGGACCATAAAATTTCAGAAAAACTACGACCAGACACATTGACCTTTTGACCCACTTGTTTAGGTGAATTTAAGCAGGCATCTAAACTGGCCCAGTTTAGAAGCAAAATTAAATGTTTAGCAAGAAATACATTTAATATGGAAACTCAATGTGTTTCCATAATGTGTAATATAGGTGCTAGTTTTGCTCAACATTAAATAAGATGATTGTATAATGATTAGCTACAAACTCTAGAGCAGGGGTCACCAACCTTTTTTAAATGGAGGGCTACTTCATGGGTACTGAGTCACACGAAGGGCTACCAGTTTGATACACTCTTCTGAAATGATACATTTGCTCAATATGCTTTTAACTATACTTTATTAATAATCATTAATGATACTCATCTGTGACAACAGTGACAACAAAATGGGAAACATATCAATATCCCCCACTTTATGTCTATTTATCTCAGCAACTGTTAAATTTTCAGATGATCACTTACTCTACATCACTACATTTACATAGGGGTTTTCAATTTCACTCATTTTCACTAGCCACTGACAAAACCTTTTAACAAATCATGAACTATGTTGCACCATGTTTCAAAAAGTTATCAATTATCTAATGTTAAAGAAAAATCAACTCACATATTAAAAAGAAATCTGAAATCTCATGACCAAATCTTTAACAGATTGGCATTGCATGCTGTTCACCAGTGCATTGTAATCTGGTGTAACTTGACACTGCAGCTGTGAGTGCATATTTCAGATTTGCTTTTTCTGCCCGTGGCTAGTCCCGGTGGCTAGTTAGCATGCTAGCTTTTGTGGCACGAAGTGAAGTGTGTCTCCACATTGTGCCGCTTTGCCGTCGCCACAGTTGCCCCGCAAATCAGACACACGCAGGTTTGTTTTACAGTCGTAAAAAAGAACTCCTCCTCCCATTCGTTGTGAGAGCGATACGTTTTCTTTTGTTTTTCTCCCATGTTTTTGGGGTAAGAAACTGCACCCATCTCTGCTGCACCCGCTAGCTTACTCTCCACTGACACTGTTTTTGTTTTGTCACGTGCACAATACTGACCTTTGAACTAGAGAAAACTTAAACTTAATATATAATTAACATATTTTAAAGATATTGTCATTTTAGATTAAATCTATATGAATGCAAGTGTGATTAAAATAGAATAGCAACGGAACAAAATTAAATTTTAGACGCTTTTCACTATTGAGTTGTGCTATTTTTAGAACAGGCCCGCGGGCGACTCATTTGGTCCGTGCGGGCGACCCGGTGCCCGCGGGCACTGTGTTGGTGACCCCTGCTCTAGAGGTTAGAACATGCTCATATGCTAATAGAAGTGCTCTGGATAGATAAAACAGTAGGACTTTATGTGGTCTAGACATAACACAAATATGAAAATTATCCCATTTTAGACCAAAAATTCACTTGTAAATGTTCAAAGACAACATAGTATTCGCTTTTTGCAAACTTTGTCTTTTGCAGAAAATGCTCACTGGAGTGAGTCCCTGTGCTGTAAGGTTATTAGGTAACTGGCGATTCCTGGCGCAACCTTAAAACCACTGTTTCTCAAATTACACTGCAACTTGTAAAAACTGCTCCCCAGTCAGCTGCACACACAAGCCTGTACCTCATAAATCAGCAAACAAGTCTACGACTGAAGGTTGGAGCGATGACAGTCGCACAAGATGGTGTGTCTGTGTCCAACAGACCCGTGTTAAACTCCACAGTGAGACCTGAGATTTTCTCTTAGTTTTGGCTTGGTAGATTTTGGCAAGTTTCTTTGTCTGCCTTGAGTAAGGCACCATTTTTTTTTAAAGATAGCACTCTCAAGGTTAAACTGCATCATCCTATCCAACTTTAAGCAATGAGAAATATTTAAGAATACCATCAGGAAACGGTTGCCACGTTCTCATTAATGCCACACTACCCGCTGTGGGCATACGTCTGAAGGGAAAAGCTGCACTTTGATCACAGGGGTGCATATGTTCTACCACCAAATGATTTAAACCTAAAGTGGTTATAGCTGAATTTTTAGAAAGTTGAAGAGATGGATGTGTCTGGGTTAACTTTAGAGCTCTGTTTATGTTCCTCCCTGTAGTCCAGTCCGGTCTGGAGTTCGTGTTAGCTCATGTCTGAGCGTATGTTGAATCATGTCCATCGTCAGGTTCATAATCATGTAACGCAGACACAAGAACATGTGTTCCACTGCTGATGTGCCGTATCCAAGCATATGGCCGTCAAACACACTTCAATAGCTGGTCACACAGACGAAGAAAGATGAAGGGAAATAGACACAATCAAAACCTCTGATGGCAAAATAGACCGATTCATGAGATTCCTGTTGGGTTAACAGGAAGGGCTCAATAGAAGTGCATTGCTGCATATAATGGCTCCAGCAAAATATATGAACTTTAAAGCTGGCTCCATTTAAGGTGACTGATGTTATTGGTTAGAGGAGGAATCCTGAGTGAGATGGAAAGTGAATCCAGATACATTCTCAGCTGTTTCTGTCAGTAGCAAGCTAACATGCCCAGTCTATTATTCACCATGAGACCACAACATCTGCATTGACAGGATTGTTCCACTGTGGGCGACTATACGAAAACTGCTTTTGGTACGACTGCAGTGCTATTTTACCTCTGATCACTCTAGGGAAATGTGACTCCCTTATTTTGTCATATGCAGTGCTCACTGTATGCATGTATTTACATTGTCGGAGGGACAATTGCCATCATTAGCTCAGAATCCAGCAAAGTGGCTCCAACCTACCGGTTGACACAATTCAAAGTGTCAGATCTGAGTTTGTTCAACCTTTTAAATACAAGTAAGTGCAAGAGAAACAGCTCGACCCTTATTTGAGAACAAAAAAGGGAAGAACAGGTTCACATAAATGACTTTAATGTCAGTTGCAATTGCCCTTTTAGGCAAAAGGATCCAAACCCACTTACCACAGTGTCTCAAGTTCACCAGTTAATGAGCCATAACTCATTTCTTTAATCGTGAAAACATGTTAAAATGTCAGCTTGCAGTTTTACGGGAGTCGTTATATGCAGGACTTGTTCATGCTCAGGTGTTGGAACTTCTCCACTTCTTTTTGGCAGCCTCCGGCTGGTGATTCATTCAGTGTCAAACTTTTAATGTAAGACTTCATTTCCAATTCCTTACTGTAACTGTGCTGGAAGCAGATCAAATACGAGAAATTATTGTTTCATGGAACCCTGATACTTGGTAGGGAGGTTTTGTTCAAATTTAGAATCTAGGATCAACTTACTCTGTTTAAGTGATATATTCGGCATCAATTTTCTGAAAAACAAAGCCAAGAAAGTGACTGATTCCCGTGCATGGCAACACGGACACCATGTATGGCTAACCCCCTCAGAATAAGATAACAAAAGCATAAGTATATTTAAAAGAGTAGAGTTAGTTGAAGAAATTTGAAAAGTTTATGTTACCAAGTTTTGATATGTGTTTGTGGATGTCACGTTGAACAGTTTAAAAACAGTAATAAAATGTTCCTGAACCAAGCAACAGTTTCAGTGCATGAATCGTGCCTGCTTTAAGGCTCAGAGATCCACCATCAGTTCTTGGCCAAGAAAAACCTCCAGATTGTCTCATCAAACTAATTCAGTTTGCAATCGGATATGCTAAATTAAGTTAAACCTCTTTTTTTTTTTTACATCCAATCATGTTATGTCCAAAAACATCCAACAACGTCCAATGAGTTTTGGCTTAGATAGTGTGCCAGATGCTGGAAAACCAATCAGAGTCTTTGCTGCCTATTGGCGGCAGGGATAGGCTCCTCACAACCCCACAAACTAGATTAGATTAAGAATTTTTAGAAAGGGGATGGAAGTTTGATGTTGCCATCAAATTCCAACTTTCATCCAAAATGTACGTGAAAAGAACACTTCAGTATTTAATCAAATTTTTGTAGCTTGGGTCATATGCAAAACTGGATTGTCTTTGTATTTACATTTCACAGACTACCCCAACTGTTTATTTTTTCATCTGGATGATATTTTTTGTTTGTTGAAAATGACAAAAAAAATGTGTCTTATAAAACATGTCTCAAGTCATGTGATAAAATAGCAAAGTAGTGGAATAAAAATAGCAACCCCTGTGGTTCTCTGTTCTGTTTCTCCTCTTTACACACACAGATGTGACCTCCCCCCTGTGTCCCTCCACATCAGCTGTCCAAACGCCTGCCAAGATTGACTTGATTACCAAGAGCCCGACTTCCTCTCCTCTCTTCCCCCATAATGCGGCTCCTTATCGCTTTCCTCCTGATGCTGCTCATCTGGTCGGCAGAGCCTCGGCGAGGCCCTCAGGCTAAGGCTGGAGTGGGGGGCAAACGGGGCCGCGTTCGGGGCCGAGGCCGGGCGGGGCTCACGCGGCGTCAAACCCAGCAGTGTAAGGAATACACGGAAGGAGGAGAGAAGTACCTCGACTGCCAGGACAGGCAGCTAACCTCAGTGATGCAGGACTGGCCCAGAGACGTTAATCACCTACTGCTGGCAAGAAATAAGTTTCAGGTATTTGCAGCAGATTTAAACATCTTTGATTCAAAAAGTTCAAATTTCACATTGTATACGGATACAGTTCTGTTTGAAGATGCAACAAACCAATTTTTAATCCAACAGCATGATTAACTTTAGCTTAACTTGGATTTTAAAGGTCTTAGTTTTAATTGACTTTGTATCAAAGCTACCATGAATCAGGGAAAGTGAATATTTATGTTGCGAAATACCTGCTTTCAGATATACATGTACAAAACATAAAAAAGCTGAAAAAGAACTCAACATTGATCGGTGAAATTATTAGTGGAACTTTAATAAAGTTAAACAAAATGTAACAATGTAGAGTCCAAACAGTTTTAAAGCTTTATAAGGGAATGAAACAGCTAGAACTGCTACCAAATATTCTGCAGATTTATTGACACTCACTAAGTCCTCTTTGCAAAGAGGACGACTGATCGTTTACTGTATACAAAACTATATCTAACTATATCCTGCATACCTGTGCACTGTTTTGTGTTTTTATGCTTAAATGAGAATTAAGAAGACACAAACACATAAAATACTCCACGGTTATACTGATGAATATTATGCAGTGTGCAGTATAAAGTAACAGTATCTTACATTTAGTGTAAACCCAGATAAGTTGTTGATGCCTTCAGCATCTGTTCACTGTTCTGCAGCCAGGGCCTGGGATGCATTTGTGTTTACTTATATTTTGGAGTATCTGAGTGCACAGAGAATGCAAACAAAATACCCTGCCAGCAATCTAATGAATAAGAATAATGTTTTAACGCAGATCATAGCAATATAGAATGAACCTTTAAGGTGGGTGTGGAATATATTGTTGCATTCATGTGTGTGTTTCTTTTGCAGCATCTTACATAAAAGATGTAATTGTATTGTATAAATCTTTTTCATCATGTTAGCACAACAATATTTAATTTAGATCGGATTTCACAATGCTCTGCTGTTTATCGACAGGGTTTATCAGCCTAGCATAACAGAGTGTCCTGAACTGCTTTAGAGTCCACTGTAATCTTTCTGCGGGGTGGCTGGTGAATATGGAGAAAGAAAAAGATTACGTTCAAATTTACATTAGTATACATATACGTATGGCATAGAGGAAGGCAGTTATTGATGACACAATGCAGCAACTTAATCTTGTATTTATTCTGAATTCTGACCTAACTTTGCGTTACTTAATTATTGAGAATGAAAAGCCAAGCTGCTTTGGTTTATAGCAGAGATTGGGCAGTCATAGAATTATGCTGTGGATTATTCAGATAGGGGTAAAGAGAGCCGAGAATAAGCTCTTCAGTTTTGACCTCTCTTAAAATGAATAAATACACCAGCATTTTCTACCCTTCCCCACTTCTTGAGAACTGGGGGAAGAGGACCACCTGCTTTCTCAAAATGGCTCTGCTGCAATAACATGAAATTTAAACTTCAGAAGAAAAACTTCAGAGTGTAATAAAAATCTTATTATCGCTCCCTCTGGGGACACTTTTAATCTCATCTGAAAGCTGACTCACCATCAAAGTCCAGCTCTCCATTGTGCCATGTATTTGTGCCATTAACTGCACAAATATAGATCAAATATGAGTTCTAAACTTAACCTTATCTTTGGCTGTTTGACTGGGACTCTGAACATGAGACTTGATGAAATTGGAAATAGCTGTATTTGAAGTGATTATCACATTAATCATTTTCTCCTAACCCGTTAACACCTGAATTTATTGTGTGTAACATAGGAATCAAAGCATTTGCCTTTAAGATGATTGGATCTATGAAAAAAACAGGGCTTGCAGCCACTGTGAAAACAAATACTCCATATTAGATGCAGTATGTATGAAAGTGGAACAGGCATAAGGGTCTAAAGACTGATAGTAAATTCATCAGTTTGATTACATCTCATCTGAGGTTTTTATTTTAGAAAATCCAACCGTTCACTTGTCTTCCATCAGGTTTTGAGGAACAATATGTTCGCTCAGTTCACCCAGCTGAGGAGCCTGGATCTCCAGCAGAACGCCATCTCCATGCTGGAAGACGGTGCGTTCAATGGCCTTTTCCAGCTCACCACACTGCTGCTCCAGCACAACAGCCTTAAAACCGCCTCAGAGGAAGTCCTGCTCCCCCTGCCCAGCCTCACCTACCTCCGTCTCTATGACAACCCCTGGAGCTGCCGCTGCCCGTTGGACAGCTTGGTCAGAACCCTGCAGGTGCCTACCAACCGCAACCTGGGCCCTTTCGCTAAGTGTGCCGAGCCCCCTTCGCTGAAGGATCAGAAGCTGAAAAAGCTAATGGTTGACCTTTGTGCTGATGACCGGACGCCAGTGACCGGAGACAAGCCGCTGCCGAGTCCTTCGCCGGTGACTAAGAGGCCCGGGGCCACATCCATGTGCCACACCTACGTTTATCCCCGGATTACGCTCAACTGCAAGAACAAAGGTGAGAAAAAAAGTCAAGTAATTCAGTTGTGTGAGTTGTGATGCCCCGAACCCTTAAGCCTGCTCGAAGGATAAACGGAGCAAAGGTTTGATGGATTGCCTTGACACTATGAAAAGACATTCAAATTATTGAACAAATAAAGCTGTTTGCCGACTTTTTAAATAACCATGGGGTTAGAAAAACATTGAAAAAGTGGCTCTCTAGCTGGGGGATTTTGAAAACTGCGCATATGAGGTGCTCATCACTCAAAGTAGAGTCTTTCTCTCTTGTCCTGGGAAACTTGGCAAAAAGGCTCATTCCCATTCATATCTTGCTTACAGTTGAACAGCAGCCAGCCATGTCTTTGAGTTCATTATGTATGATGCGTTGGCCTCTCTTTACGGGAGGCTGCTTGTGTGCCATGGTTTCAAACTCAAGCTTTGAATCAGTGTCTTTTGGTGGAAAGGTTACCCTCATCTGCTCATAAATCAAGTTCTGCGTTGTGAATCTTTATGACGTAGAGCCTTCTCACAATTGACATTTGACTTGTTATATTAAGACACACCAGATGTGATTTAGTGCTTTAATGGAAGAGAACAAAAAAGTGAGTGCTTCACTGACTCTCTCTCTGCGTCCGCCGTTTTCACATCTGGCTGTGGAGCTGCCACTGTGAGACAGATGTTTTCTAACTGACAGAGACTGTTTCTGAACAAGCCCAGATCGATCATTCTGTGCCCCGTGGTCTTTTTCTCTTTTATAATCCTCTTAAAGCTAATTAAACTTGATTTGTTGTACAACACAAAGCACTTAAAGGCTGCATCCTTGATACCAGATTCATCTGTAAACGAAGAGCTTATGCCCTTCAGAGGAAGCAGTCCTTCGCAGAGCATCCACCAGCCAAAACCACACAATGCTGCGTCTGTGTTGTGTGAAAGCTTGAGGAAGCTTTTTGCATATTTTCCTAAGTATTTTTTTTCTTTCTCTTTGGGAAGACTTTTGAATCAGCTCTCTATCTTAACCACTATAAAGTTCTTCTGTTTTTCTCACAGCATGATTATCCCATCAATTTCCTCAAAGCTCTCCTCCTCCGATGCCCACTAATACCTCTCTTCATCCTGCCTCCGTCTAAATCAAGCCCCAACATATAAGCAATATAGTGTGTGCACACAGCTTAATACACTACAGCTGCAGGGCCTGACATCCAGGACATGGTTTTTGTGCCTGAGCCTTGAAAGCACTCTTGTATTGGTGTGCTACGAGCTGTTAACGGATGCCTGGAGTCCTGCCTTTTTGCTTTCACTGGCCTAGTTTTCAGCAAACAAATAGGCAGCTTTCTTTCTGTGAGATTGAAATAACAGATAGATTTTAATTTCCCACTGATGTGCCTTTGTGGCTTTCTATTGTATGGTTTACACATTTAAACAACTGCAGATGGGGACAGATGGCTTAAGATCAGGTACAAAATCAGTATTTTGTCAGAGTAAAGAAATGAAAAAAGAAAATTGATTGGGATCTTTTCAATTTTAAGTCCAGCTTTAAAATGTAACTGTACCCTTTTAGGAGTGTTTTGAATACTTGCCACATTATCTGAATCAGTTAGTCTAGCTTTCAGGGCTTCACTTTTATGGTTTTGGCCCGTCTGGCATGTTTATGAGCTTTTTAAAAGTCCAGCTGTGTCTGACTAACACAGCAATTTATTTTCAGTGTTTGGTCACCAAATTAACTATATTTAGGAAGTATTAAGAAATCTCTTTCAAACCTGTCTCATCTTATGAAAATGTTCACAAACTGCTGAGCTGCTGGTTTTCAGCAGGAATGGACACAGAGACCTCCAACAAAATCACAAGGCACCAGATTCTGAGTCTTTGACTCCCATTAAGCAGTTTGTTTTCCCTCTGACAGATAGAGTTGGTGCTGAATTTCAACAGTTGAGGCCAGAGGAAAAGTTTCCTGATGTCTGAATAAAACTGAATAAAATGTACCACAACACCTGTTCCATCATAGATGTGTTTCATGATCATGATAAAACTTCTCAGAGATAGTTTACCAAACACAAGGTGAGGAAAGGTTGTGAGAAATGACTCCATATGTCTCTGTAAATAATCAACTGAGCCAGCCCATTCCCCTCACCCGTAGAAGATTAAATAATTGTCAGCATAGAAAAAGCGTAGCTTTATTTGTCAGTTTTAATTATATGAATGCAGCTCTGTGTGTTTGATGCCTGATCTAAATGTGTGTATGTTTAGTTAACACAATACATTTGTGTGGAATTTTTGGTCAGATCGAAAGAGAAAGGTAATCGTCCTCAATCCACAACAGAGTTTTGGAGGATAAAACACACCCACAGTCGATGTTTCACGGGTAGTAACAAAACACAGACTTTCCGGACAAAATCCTCGAACAGATGTTCTCCAGATTAATGTTTTAAACAGATATCCAAACCCCAGTTATGAAGGATTGACTTTAACCTCTCCTGACAACGTATCTCCCCCCTCTTCCTCTCACACGTTGGCTCATTCATTCAAATGTTAAAATAGTTACAAGCTTAACACTTTATTTGAAATACTTACTTCATTACAAGATCACAAGATATCACAAAGACTTTTTGAGGCACATTAAGCTCTTTTAGATTACAAGTGAAAGAGTAGCTTTCCATGTGTGGCTCAGCTTTTCCTCAACTCTCCGTCCCCTCTGAATTTACAGTGTGGGGAGATTAGCATCGCTCACTGTAAAACACAGAGGAGCACAGATGTGTCTCTGCTGGACAGGGAAAGTTTTTTATTTGGCTCAAAAAGCTGGAGTCTGCTAAAAAGAGCCTGGGAATATGAGCCTACTGATGTAGTCAGATTTTAAACTTAATCTCAGACAAAAACACCCAACAGCATACTGGGAATCCCTTCACATTCACCGTGGAAACGGAGAATGTCCAAAGTGAGTTCCAGCCTTTTTGTGTGTCTGCTGCATCACAGAGCAATCATCACTACATTTCCTGAGTGTTCTACATGCGTGCTGAATATATGTGTGCATGCTGCAAGTGTAATTATGTTCTGTTAGTCAGCCATGATTTATAGTGCTGAGCCTTCATAACATCTGTGGCCGTAAAGCGGGTGCACAAAGACTGCAACATCTGCTATATAAAAGTGTCTGTAAGCATTCCTTTAAGCAAAGCATTCAGATATAAATAAAAACATACAGGAAACTAATGTCTCCTCTACCACACACCGTACCCGATAGCTTTAATTAGCCTTTTCCCCCCCAAATTCATTGTCAAAAAGTAAATCAAATTAAACATATTTTGATTATGTCTGTTGTGGCACTGACATGCCCAAACACACATTTCCGCTCATCTGCAACCATTTTGCTTCAGAAACAGATGATGACACAGGTTTCTGAGGCCACCTACTCTGGTTTAAACAGTGACTTCATGATAGCTCCAGCAGATGTAACCTTCACATTTAATCCTCATTGTGTTATCGCACCGAGGAAAGACAGGTCCAATGACTGAGAACCTAAAGAAAAAAAGAGACTTTCTTTTTTACTCACTTCCGCCCAATGCAGCACTGGTGCCGTTAAAGTTGACATAAGCCTTTGCAGTAAGCTTTGGGAAACGCACGCATGCAAAAATATTCATCCCATAAAACGTGAAACTCGATGTTCAGGCTGGTTAAAATCCGAATAGGTGGAGATGACTGTTTGATTCATTAAAGTCTTCAAAGGTAAACATGAGTGTGTGAGGCTGGACCAAAGAGGAAAACAGCTCCCCACAGACACATAAGTCACATGTTGCTGTGGATGCTGTCGCTCCTGACTCCATCTTTAAAATGGGGAAATCTTCCACACAGCACACAAAACATCTTGAAAGCATACATGATCCAGACGGATTGAATTTCCGTCTCTTTTGCCGATTCTCAATTCAGTCTTTATTCAGATCTCACGCTTTTTGCACAGCTGCGCTATAAATCTATCAACAAGTACACGTGAAGGTAACTTTTAGAGAAAAATATGTCCAAATGCTTATTTCCTCTTCCGGCAGATATGTAGATTGACCTTCTACCCTTTTAAAAAGACAGTAAAACTGCTTCTCAGACTCTCAGTTATTCTCCTCTTCTCGACCTGAACTTTCTCTTCCTGTCTCCCTCCGCAGATCTGAATCGGATCCCCTCGGAGCTTCCAGCTGATATAGTGACTATGGATCTGTCCGAGAACAGCATCAAGCATCTCAGGCCCAAACTCTTCCTGCAGTCCAAAGACCTCAAGTTCCTCAACCTCAGCAGCAACAATCTGCAACATATAGACATAGGTAAGACACAGGTCCTGGACTCACACAAGTGTGCACCCTGTCTGAGGGTAATTTTGTATACACGGTCACACCATTAAACATAAAAGTCATAAATAAAAATAAGTCGAATTCAATGTAGTTTGTTAGTGAAAAGCTTGGACTCTGAATGGTGCTTTCAACCTTATCTAAATCTGCCTCCAAGGAGTCAAGTAGAGTCTGTTCCTTTTTGTTAGACAATAAAAGAAGAACATCGTGTTATTTACAGGGGAGACAAAGCTGAAGCTTAGATATGTCTATAAACCATTGGTAACTACAGAGAAAAGGAGAAACATTTTAAGTCCACTTTGTAAGGTTTTCTTTTAGACTAAGACACATCAATGAGATCTGGGCAAATCTGGAAGCAGTTTCTTTTATTTCGACTCCCCAGTTTCATATTAGATTTCCTGGAGTTCATGAAAGGAACTATTACACTGAGTGAATTGATAAATAAAACGGAGGCAGGTGAGGTCAAATTCAGCTCTCTGAAAAGAAGGATGCACGAGAGTGATCACTGTGTAACAATGGGAGGTGAGGAGCTGGGGAGCAGGCAACCGAGACAGATAACTATGATTTAAAATGCAAAACAATCCACAGAGGAATTGCTCCTGAATTGCTCCGGCAGCCCATATATCCACACCTTCACAGGTGCCGTCCATCAAAGCTGGAGCAGACGTCCCGGCAAGTTCAGAGTGTAAAAAAATGACAGACTGCCACTAAAAATGTCAACGCTAAGAAGAGCGTCTGATAGTTATGGACTCCAGCTCCTGTTGGTGTTACAGGAACTCAGGCTCTTATGCTCAGAGATAGAAGCAGCTCACTTCTCCTTTGCAGAAACACAATAACCAACTGCAACATCTTTCAAAAGGCAAACTTTCATCTGCAGCTCTCTAATGAGAAGACAATACAAGGATTTTATTCAAGCTTTAAAGACAGCTTGTGGCTCAGTCAGCTTTGAGGGGTCAAAAAAAAAAGGAAAAATTGTTTCAAATCAGGTTAAGGCCTAAAACTCCCCACCCAAAAAATATGAAACATCGTGAAGAACCATGTTTTGACCGGCAACACAACATTCAAAGTACATTTGTAGAAAGAAATTTGTGTTTTGTCAATGGAAACTTGTATGCAAATGGTTGTATCCTGTTTCTCTAAAAAGTTCACAATGACAAAAAATAAAAACACATTTTGTTTTACTGAAATCAGTGTTGACATCCACACTCCAACACACAGAATAGAAGTTTCTTATAACAGTCGTCAGGCTAATGATGTCTGGGCTCGTGCCTTCCTTTTTAGAAGGAAAGCCCTACAAAAGCTTTACAAAAGCTTGTAGTTTTCCTCGATATCCATCAACACACATAAACAGTCTGCTAGAGCTCACCCCAGTTGGTTCAAATCCATTTGGAAACCGAGTAAGTTGTTCTGAGAGCTTGTGATAGCCTTAAATCATATGGTCCGAATCCTTTTACCCATGTTTATATTCACAGTAAACAAGAGGCGGTTTATTTGTGCTTTTTATGTGGATAATTAGTGGAAGAGAAGAGATGCATGGAGACGCAGCACAAGGATTTTTTTTAGATCAATAATTGATGCTTTCAAAGAATTTCTACAGTTGGGTTTTGGTTGAAGTTTGAACCAGATTTTGAGTTTCAGATAAAGTAATCATTTTGACAGTCACAGGGAAATGTAACAAACTGTTGGGGGGTACGCACAAAGACCAGCCAGTGGGAATAGTTTTTGTTTGTTTTCTGTAAGGAGAGGATTGGTAGATCACTAATGAAAGACACTTTACACTAACACAAAGGGATGTCATTGGATGGAAGCGGTGGATCTTTAGACCCCTGGTCCTGGATGTTTTCAGAGTTTCTCAGCTCCAGCACAGCACATTCAAACCATTCGTCAGCCTTCAGAGCTGTTTCATTTGTTTGAATCAGGTGCGTTTGAGCAGGGAAACAGGAAAACATGCCGGACAGTGGTCCTTTAGGACCAGGGCTGGGAAACAATGCTTCAGATGATGTGATTAGCTAATTTCAGCTCCTGGGAAAAGAAATATGAGAGTACATCATAGTGGGTTTCCTGGAGTCAAAGTGGCTCCCAAAGCAAAGGAACAGAAGATAATTTTGAAAATCCAGTCTCATGAGAAAAGAGAATCTGTCTTCCTGCTCAGAGAAATTTCCTCTCTGTTACGATTATATCCCTGCTCTCTAGACTGTTGAACTATATAATCTGTCATAATAATAATAATAAAAACTTCTCTCAGTCTGTAAAGCATCCATTTTTTCATGTAATTTCAGGGATGCTTTTGTCCTTCCCATAGTTTTGTACCACTTTTTTCTCTCCGTTCCCATTTTCCTCCTCCTCCTCCTCCTCCTCCTCCTCCTCCTCCCCCTCTCTTCCGCTTTGTAAAGATCAAAGTTTGGCCTAGGGCTGCTGGACAGGGAAAAGCCTTCTATGCTGTCCAATTACTCCCTTGAAACAAATGTGCATACATTAGAAAAACAGCGCGGAGGAGACGTCTGGAAGCTTTCAGAGGCCTCATTAGACCTCTCAAAGTCACTGTCCGCTCATCGCTCCATGCCAGCTGCTCACAGGTTGCTTCCTCGAGCCTTTGTGGCAGATTGTTCGGAAAATTGTACGCTATTCTGTTTGAAATTTATTTTTTAATGAAGATCAGACAACACATACCTGTAGTTTAATGGTTACAATGTCCTAGGTTTGATCATTTTGATCATTAATTGTGGCTGAATTATCTCAATTTTTACATAATTCCTGAAGCTTCTTTCGATCAAGATTGCTTTCAACAGGTTTGTTTGAAACTGATTTGTTTTTTTGTCAGTCGTACAGAAACTTTTGCATTTATTTCTGACATCCGTCTTGATCATTCATAACTTTTATGTTCATAAACCTCTTGAGTAAATATCCCTCTGTTCTTCACCCATAACCTCTGTCACGATCAGGTAGTCTTTGCTTGGTAAAAATCTAAGTATTCCTTAAGAACTTATTAACGGTATTTTCTTTGGTTTGGACTTTTTTCCCTGCCCAGGTGCTTTTGCGGGCCTGCTGTACCTCCAAAACCTCGATCTATCCAACAACAGCCTCCATTACTTTCGATACGGCATACTGGAGGACCTCTACTTCCTAAAGACGCTCTCCTTAGACAACAACCCGTGGATCTGTGACTACGACATCCACTACTTGATCTACTGGCTAAAGCACCACCCGGGCGTGTCTTACACCGGCCTGATCTGCACCGAACCGCAGGAGTTCAGAGGCTGGCGAGTGGAAGATTACGTCAAGACCTACAACGGGGAGTGTCCCAAGGATAAACAAACAGAAGGGGTGGACACAGGGCAGGAATCACAAAGCGAGTTGGAGAATGAGGCGCAGGAGGTGATGGGGGAGATGGGGGAGGGGCAGGGAGAATTTTTACCACAGCCCCTGAGGAAGAGGGGTTCCAATGCATTTGAGATCATCAGGTTGAGTTAAAAGTTTGAATCCAAACGGATCAGTGGACTGTCAGGGTGAAACCAGGGGACAACTGAAATTGAGCTTTGTGGGTTAATCCGGGGGTTAATCCTTGCAGACGTTGTGATTTATGTTTAGAAATGTACTGTGAGGTAAATGGTTTTGGATCAAAATCAACTTTTTGGTTTGCAGGGGTGATAGAAAAACTCAAGCAAAGACCAACGGGATTTTTTCTGGCACATTCCAGACCAGTTACATTTCATTGCCCCTAGTTTCCCATCAAAGTTCCCTTTAGATTTTCCAAGCAGCACACATCTTTTAACATATTTTTTTTTCTTTTCTTTTTGGCGAGAAATAGTATGTAGTTGTTTATAATAATGTAAACATTGTCTGGCTGTCTGGAAATAAAATTGGGTTTATTTTTTCTGAATACTCTTGCACTAATTGACAAACAGATGGATGTGATTGATGGTAAGACATTATGGAGACGTAGGGAATTTGTGGGAGCTGCGCCATGAAAAACTTTTTTGCCATGAAAAATGACAGGAAGCCGATGTATTGCATAGGAAAGTGACGCCTGGGTTTAATGGAGACATGATATTTCCAGATATTTTGTGGAGAATCCGCCAAGAGCATCATGACTGAGCTTGATTAGTAAAACCTGCCAAGGTACTCAAGTGACCTGATTTGAAAATCATTTATTTTTGTACAAATAAAGCTGTTTAAGCCTTGCAGGCTAAAATCCACTTACTCACTTCTTGAATTGCCAGATTGTGTGTCCTTTAATTAATTTCTCACTGGCAGTGAATGAATAGATCAATCATTCATAGGATTAAGAGGAATCAAATGGCTTTATAGGCTCATATCAATCATTCATTTGTAGTTAGTTAGGACAAACTTCTTTGAAAAGAACTTTTTTTCTCCAGATTGCACCTGGAAGTTTCATCTGGATTTACCATGACTGTTTTTAAAAAAAGAAAATCTACATGACCTCATGCAGATAAGGTGGATCCTTGTTGATGCTGAATCAGCAGCTTTGAGGTACATGTTTGAGTTTAGTTTGCCAATTTGGCAAAGACAAGATTATATTGTGCATGCAAGCCTTGTCAATCAGGTCTAAAGGGAGCGTTCTTTTTGTATAAATCTTCTTTGAGGCTGGTTTGTTCTTTCATCATGTCTCCATGTTTGCATGTTAACTTATTAAACGCTACTCCGTATGCTCAAACATCACTTTTGTCTTTCCTGAGTGACACAAGCTTGCAGCTGTGGGTCATTTGTGGCAGCATAGTGCCACCTAGTGTTCACATTTGAGTAATTCAATTACTCATTGAGTAATTCATTGACCAGAAGGCCCCAACCAGTTTTTGGAGGAATTTTTAGGTGAATCAAGGTCCTGAACTTTAATCACAAAAGTTATTTGGAAAAAGCTAGCACAGGTCTCTGAAGCAGCTCTAAGATTTCAAGACACTTGATGAGAGTCGAAGCTGTGCAACACCTTCAAAGCCTCAAGAAAACCCGTTTCTCAAAAGGCAGAGAGCGAGTCAGAAGCCTTTGCAGTGAATCAAGACATCCATCACAGAGAGTCAGGCAAAAACGTGTAATTCACAGTGTTTTGGCTTTTAACATGTTCCAAGTCACCTTCATCCACAGTTCAGCAGGAGGGGATTGAAGATGGTCAGAAAGGCACCATAAGGGCAAAATACTCCAAAGTTTAAAATCTAACAAGCGTGAAACAGCATTTTCTCAAACAACTGCACAATACAAAACCACTTCAACCTTTAACTTTCTGTTCTGGATTGCATTTTAATTTGAAGAATAACCTAGTGAAGTGTGTCCAGTGTTTCCTCTTTGGAAGCTGATGGAAATTTGTTTGGATATTTGACAGTTTTTTGTTGTTGTTGTTGTTGTTGCTGTTCTCTTATCATCATTCAGTTTGATTTTAGTTGCACACGCCGAAAGGCAGGACTCAGAAGGCACTTATGTGGAGACAAACAATCCAGGATGTAGATGACATGAGAAGAATGTGTCTTACAGTAACTGTGATCTAAACACTGATCTCAAGTCCTACTGGCTTTGTCAGTAGTTCCTTCACATAGACAAATTTCCAGCAAAACAACTTAAATAGATTTTCCAATACCTACCCAACGACTGCCTATAAACTCATTTGCAGTTCTTGAGGTCTTGCTGACTCTAATCCATACAGGTTTTGCTCCTCTTGCATTCCTCTTTGTCCACATTTATAACCCTTAAAGTGTCCTTTCCTTTGGGAACTCATAATTCCTCCCATCAGTAACTCTTTGCCCGTCTCAGCAACACGACTTCTTCTCCGGTGGCGCGTAGGAAGCTACGTTGCCAATAACGGGTCTGGAGTTCTCTCTCAGGAGGATCCGCGGCGAGTGGCTGCTGTCCAGGTCCCCCTGCTGAATGTGAAGGCCGTTGCGAGACAGCAGCTCTCTGGCCATCATCAGGAAGGCTTCGTCCACATTCTGACTCTCCTAATTAGACAAAAAATGCATCATGTGATAATTCATCCAGCTTTTTTTTTAAGGGCTAATGGGAAAAATATTACCTTTGCAGACGTTTCTAAAGCGGCAAGTATGCCTCTCTGTTCGGCCAGATCACAGGCCTCCTGAAACTGGACTTGTCGTTCTTGCTCCAGGTCACATTTATTCCCTAAATGGAGACAGTCCCAAAGATGAGAGATATCGTGTAAGTCATTTTTTATTTAACAATGCAATGCCAAAGTGTGAAATACTAATAATACATTAAGTAAATTACCTTTGAATTCGTGAAAATTAAAAATTCTATTAGAAAAATTCTATCTGAGACAACTTAAGATCAAGCTTGTATGACATTACATGACCAGGTTAAACTGCAGTTCACACCCACCTATGAGAGCCAAAACTACATTTGCTGCGCCGTAGAGCTCCACCTCCTTTATCCAGTGGTTGACGGACTCAAAGGTGGATCGCCGCGTGATGTCGTAGGCGATCATGGCGCCGTGAGCACTGCGGTAGTAGCTCTGAGTGATGGTGCGAAACCTCTCCTGACCCGCCGTGTCCCACACCTGCATCTGCACCAAACACACTCAAATAAATCAATAACATGTAAATATCATATCAGTATAAATGATTAATACCTCCTCATATAGTGTTGTTAATGTGGCGTAATGCTTGAGTGCCTACATATGTTTTATTACCTATGACTCGATACTTTGCAGATTAGAAGTGCACGACTGGGTGGACGATATGCACACAAATACGATGATGGATTTAATTGCTGTAAATACACACTTGACAGTTCCTTTCGCTGCAAATCCTTTGACAAATCCTGATCACAGAGGAATACTCTCCGAGGATCAGGCAGAGCTTTCTGGTGTTGTAGCAACCGGCTCAGGCTCCGCTCCACACCCTAATCACTCTCAGGTTCACAGTTGGAACCAAGTCTGCTAAGATAGCTAATCATAAACACATTGTTTTGCATTTCATCAGGGACCCAAAGATCTTGTTTGTTTTTTTTACATTTACAGGGCAAACTTTAAACATTTTTCTACCTAATGATTTGCTCTCTAAAAGAAAACTAATCCCCAGACGAATACATTGCCCTTTAAGATTCAGTGTAAAATCTTAATGAATTCACAAGCTCTGCATAATATTTCAGGGCTTCACTAGTGTTTAGATTAAATAAAAAAAGAAGAGATCAAATTAAAGTATGTGCACAGAAATCTAAAGAGAGATTTAGTCAATTTGCAAAAAAAACAATGTGGTGAAAAAAACAGAGCTACGTCTTAGTGGTTCTTTTCAAGTGTCACAGTTATATAGCCGGAGGAATTAAACTGTTGTGTGAAAAAACTGAAACAGGAGCTGGAATATAGTAACTCTTTTGAATTAGATCTTAGCACTAACTCAAATGTCAAATCTTATTGGCCCCAAGTTAGACTTTCTTTGATTTGCCCTGTGGAGATGAAGAACAGTAAGCAGATAAAAGGGAGACATTAAAAGCTTTCAGTGTCTCAGTTAAAGTTAATATTGATGACATGCTAAGTCAAATCAAATGGTGGGTACCTTCCAAAAGTCTCTATTCGACTTTTAACAGCACTGATCTGTTAAGTGATGCTTCAGAAGTATCCATGACGCACATAGGTTAAAGTTTCCTCATTTTTTAAAATGTTTAGTCAATGATAAGATCAAAAACTTAGTGATAGAGAACAGAAATCAGCATGGATGTTTATCAGCCAGTCATCTGTCTAACCCCCAACAAAATATTAGTTTTGGTAGATGTGTTTTTGTTAAGTGGCAGATGACAATCTTTTCCTGTGGCTGTGACAGAATTAACTGCCATGATGAAGTTGACTGTTTTACACATAATCATTAGTATAAATTGAAACTATGGATCATGTTCTGCAAACCATGTTCTGAATAAACAGCAACTTCCTCTTAGCTTAATGACAGCACTGCCGGGTTATTTTAAGTCCTATTTTTGCTCGGGCAGAGAAACCTGAACAACAGGTTCTTCATGGAAATGGCCTGTCTGTCTTGTTTTGGGCTGAGCCAAACTGTCACTGTAACCCAAGGACAACTCCCCATAATGGTAATTAGAGTTGTCTCAAACTGAGAGAAACCCGTCACATGTGATGGTCAAAGTAAAGGATCTTAGAGCATTTCCATTTAGGTAATCACTGATACTAAATTTTACTTAAGAGCGTGTAGCCATGCTGTCAGGAAACAGTATAGAATGTGTTCTACCAGGTTTGGGACACAATAATACCCCAATGCATGAATTTATATACTTGTATTGCTACCACTTATATTGTCAAACACCTTTCAGCAGTTTACAAAAACACTTCCAGGTATCATGACTGATATTAACCCTCATTAGACAGATATAAAAAAGTAGAACTCAGTTTACTTAAATCAGCATTACTTGATAAAAGGGCAGAAAACACCCATACAAATATTCCTGGAGTCATAAGTGTGTGGATTTTGCTTCTCACTATTATAACTTGCATATAACACACACATCTGCTCCACATCAATACATCTTGCTGATTGTAGTTACAGCTTTTGGGTTTCTTTCCACAACAAACATACACAACACCAAGAACCAACCTTCACTTTCTTCCCTTCGATGTCCACGGTGCGCACGGTGAAGTCCACACCGATGGTGTTCTGCTGTCTCTCTGAGAAAACCCCCGACTTAAAGTTCTGTACAACGCAGGTCTTCCCCACGTTAGTGTCCCCGATAAGGATGATCTTAAACAGGAAATTAAAAGAGTCATCGTGCTCGGGTCCGGGTGTCTGCATGGCGCGGGGACAGAGGCGTGTGTGAGCTTTTTGGAGCGAACAGAGGAAGTTTTTCCTCCTATAGCTGCTCTGGAGGTCACTGGGAAAGTTTGGCCTCTGAAGTTGAGAGATGCTGGGTGATCTTTAAGGTTGATTGACTGCTGAGACTCCAAATGAGCCGACAAAAAGTGCAAAACAGTAAAAAGGGATTTGGTCCAGAGCTGAGGTGAAGGCTACAGTTGTTCAGCAGGTTGCAAATCCAGCAGCATCTAGTTAAGATCAGTCCACATGTAGCCTGTAAAACCAGTTTAAGGTCAAAGAAACACACAACATGGATCTTTTCTCTGGCTGGAAAGCACTAGAATATCAATTTACACCACAAGAGTAAGTCTTTGGATATTTGTGTGCATATTCAGATGTCATAGCAGGAAAAAAAACAAGGTATTGTCCGTCTGATCCTGCAGTTTGGAGCTGTGTTGTGTCCCTGGATAGTTTGGTTTTTTCCCTCCCCTTTCTCCCTCTTGCGCTCTTTCACTTGGACAAAACTGCCTCAGTTCAGCTTCTCCTTTCAGCCCCTTGTCAGGGTCGACCCACTTCATGTCCCACAGCAGCAGACAGCCTGAATACACAACCCATCCTTTCAGTCCTCGTGCACAGGTTCCGCTTGTCAAAGAGAAAGAATCCACTTCCTCATAACAAAACCATAAAAACGGATGTCCATGATCGGCCCGAGGTACCTGCCGCTCTCACACACCCGTGTGTTTCCCCCCCACCTTTTCTCCTTCCCTTTGCCTCCACTTCTCCTCTGGCATCAGTTTTCCCCGTCCTCACTAACAATAGAAACCTGCCCCACCTGTTCACAGTAACTAACCCAGCCTCATATGTAACCGCTGTTGGATTGTGGGAAATGCAGTTTATTAGGATGGATCTGACTTTATGTTGTCACTTTGCATAATTTGTTTAAACACAGATTATATCAAACAACTATATTTACATGAATGCTGCACTTGAACACAAAGATGTTTAAGCTCCAAAGACTGTCCAAAAGCCACACTTTAATATTATCCTTTTAAAAAAGCCCAACATGATTTTTTTTATAACAATATAATCCTCAAAGTGCTCAAACTGAGCACTGAGTGCAGTACACTTAAAAAAAACACACACAAGAGAGTTAATGAAAAAGAAATAAGGCCCATCTGTGGCTAAGTGTTTGTCTGAACTTTAGGATCTGAAATTGTCTTATCAAGGTGCCAGGTTTGAGTGTAAAAACCCTGAAAAAGATGGTACCCAGAGAATGAGAGTCCCCTAATTCATCAGATGTGGATCCAGGAATGGTGCTTTAAAGACTGCATGAAAACAATAAAGACAAGTGACCTCCTTCTCTAAATGTGTCAATATTACACAAATTTAGGGAGATCACACTTCATGTCCTAACAGACTGTTTCTCTCTCTTCTTTCTTTCTTCTTTTCAAGTGAACATTTTACATTTACTGACTGGAATTAGAAATTAAAAACACTGACGCCCATTAGTTAAATTACGCATTTTGGGATTAAATCTCCAAAGCTCTGAAAGTGGTGCGGGTGTTTTCGGTGGCCCTCTTATTTCCATAATCCCCCACGCAGGAGTGCTCATGCGCACTCCATCTGCTCCCGCTGCTGCCGAACGTCCACAATTTTAACCGTGATGTTGCGACGGAAAAAACACGGTTCCGGCGCGCGTCGTATTTCCAACATTCTGGGGAGCGCCTGAAGGCGGCACGGGGCTCTCATCCAGCGCATCACGGTGACGTCCTGTGCGCATCCAGTCCGTGGATGTCCTTACAGCTGTTCCCGCAGGTCCGTGGACGCGATCGCTGCTCCCCGTGAAAGGGCGTTTTTTATTTTTGGGAAACCTGGAACGGCATCATGCAGAAGAGCGCAGTGGTCGTTGTGGCGGATAAAACGAGTCTAAAGAGGCCGTTCATTTTTGCGAACGCCGTTCATATGGTGGGTGAATTCCTCTGGAATCTAGTTCAGTTTAACCGAGAAGGCCTGAGTGATTTGTGTGCTTCTTTGTTTCGTTTTCTTAGGACTGTTTTTAAGTGTATATGTACCAAAATGAACATTCAGACTCAAACCAGCCAAAATAAGACTCACTTTTCTACTGCTAAATATCTACTGTTGTTTTTATTTATATTTTTTTGCAATTTTCTTTTCCCCAAGGAATTCTAAGAAATAACATCTCTGCTGGTTTATTTAAATATACCAGGTCATCTTATTATGGGCCTCCTCTATTAACCTCAATAACACCAGGAGTATTTTCTGGTTGCTTATATTTTCTGTGTGTGTCTCTCAGATGGGACACATGTAGTCGAGGCCTTGTTTTGTTTTGTCATACGTTACAGTGCTGCTCTGTAATGCCTGCACTGCCCTCCTTTTACACCGAAATGAACGGTGACATCTTTAAGTTGTGGCACCTACAAAGCATTTGACAAAATACTTTTTCATTCTGTATTTCAAACCTTAGATTTCTAATTTTTTAAATTTAAAATACGGTGGAAACAAGAATGGAAAATGAGGAAAATGCAGAAATAACCTATATAATAACCTATATAATGTTCTGCACAGTGAACTAACTTCATTTATTTGATCCATAGATTTTTTTTAAATAAACAAACAAATATTAATAGATAGATGTGTTGGCTTTCACAAAAACAATTTAATGTCTATCCCAGATGCCCCAGAGCTCAGAGAAGTGTTCAGGGTTAACAAAAGGTCTAGTTTTAGCACATTTTACATGCCATTATATGATTTGGATTCTTGATGGATGAGCTGTGAGGAATCAATGGTAATGGCAGGTCAGCTTTTCCTCACATAGTTGCCCTTTGTGCATTTAGAGAACTCAATAATCATTAATGTGTCAAGGATTTAAGATCCATAATTGCTGTATATTTACAAATAAAAATCACGTTAACAAGACAAAATATTGAATATATTGGGTGTACAAAATGTACAATTTAATAAAAGTACATTTTGAGCTGATATGTTCCAGAAATGTTGAATCCATTCAGTGGTAGCTTTAAACAATTTTTGTGGTTTACTAATGTAACAGATGTTTCCCTCTCTTCTAAGGCGCTGTGCTTCTTCATGCTGAGGATGACTGTGGTCTGGCACAGAGACCTCATACAAACCGGAAAAGTAAGACTGAGATCCATTGTGTTCTTTTTTATGGATAAACACTGTTTGCGGGTGGGCAATGTTTACAGGAGGCGGTAATAACTTTTATCAAGGTTCAGGGAGGACAGCTGAGGAATTATTGACGCTCAGTTCCATCAATAGTGGCTGAAGGCCTCGCCATGGTGCATTTCTATATTGTCTTTTTCTGGAGGAGCTGCTTTAGAGGCTTCATATGTTTGACAGCGTGCGCTTGTTGTGTCCTTGGGCGAGACAGTGAGTTATTTTCATATGCTTGAGTCTGCTGCTAAGTTTGACCTTTAAGCTCTTTGCGGTAATCCCACTTTGACACGAAATAAAGAATCCTGTCTGGCCTTTGCATATTTAGCGTATGCATTTAACCCCTGTGTGATTTCCCCAGATGGTGTCCAGTGTTTCTGTGGTGATGATGTATGTCATAGAGGTGGGCTGCCTGCTGCTGTCAGTACTCGGAGTGTTTGGAGCCTGCAAAGGAAAGAGATGGTGTCTGATTTTGGTAAAAATCTTCTTTGTGTGTTTTTATTCCTATTCCTTGTGTGTTTGCTTGTGTCCGTGGGTTTTTCTAGTGTGCTTTTTTTTCTGCCTGTGATGGTGTGTAGTACGCAGCCGGGATGGCAGCAGCCAGTCAGACCATCATCATTCGAACAGCACTGAGTTACCAAGATGTTTACGAGGTAGACCGCCTTAAGGCCAGAAACCTATCCAGCATGTGTTGATACGTGAAAATCAGATGTCAGTGTGGTTCCTCCTCAGAAACGAGTCGTCCGGGAGGAGTCCAAGCTGCTGGCCATGATGCCACTCAGTGGAACAAGCAAAGCCAACAGGACACTACTGTACAGCATTCAAGAAGAAGTAAGTGGACGTTATTTAAGATTTAAAAATGCAGTAAACCTAAAGCTATATTAGCACAAACCCACAAGCAACCCCTGAAAAGGAGTACCTGACATTCTGGTACGATATATTATGTATTTAGAGGTAAATATTCACAGATCTGCTCTTGATTCAACATCTCTCTTTGTGAAAATATTATCTCTAAATTGTAATGTTTCCCATTATGTGCTTCTTAGAGAAGAATTAGAATTAGATATACCATATCGTTATTTTAACGTGATGTTGAAGTGCTCGACACATGTGGGACCAAGACCAAGATTGTACCAGGCTACACCCACGCCCTCTCACTCTGAGCCCCTTTAGAATCTTCTCCTCAAGGCTCATTTCATGAATCTGAAAAACAGCCAATAATTACTGGATTCCTGGAGGAGAAGGAACTGGAGAAAGCAGAACGGAGGGATGAACAGCATCCTCATTTTCTGCTTCCTCCTGCGTGTGACTCAGCATCTCATTCATCATCGTGAAGTATGACCCAAGTTCTAAAATGAGCCCTGAGGAGTGAGGTGGCTGGCAGAGGAGGACACACAGGTGCATCTTTTGTACAGGGGTTGAGTTGAACTGATACTGGTTTGATATAACGACCCAGAAACAGGGTTATCTAAGCTCTTTGCTCCATGTGTCTTTCTTGCTTTGCTACGCATGGGCTGCTTGCTAACTAAGGAGTAGCTCAGGGCAGAAAGATGTTGACTCTAACACTTTGTTGTCAGACAGAATGTAGCCAAAGTACAGCTTAGAAGACATGGACGAAGCCTCTATTTATATATTATTTTGAACACGAATGAGAAAAAAGGCTGACAATGTAATATTTGTTGAACGCCAGTTACATTCGGCTGGGCAACAACAGCATAGTGGTCATCTAGATACTTGAAATGCTTTTTTAATGCATATAATTTAGAAACAGAATAAGGAAAATTACAGGGAAGATTGGAAATACATGCCGCCTATTGTGTTCCTGACATCTGAAAGTAATTTTGAAACTGGAAACAACCCATAGATGTTTATGTGTCTTCAACTGGGCTTGTGTGTGTGTGTCTGTGTGTTATTTTCAGTTTGAATGCTGCGGTCTTATCGAAGGCTACAAAGACTGGGGCTCTTCCATCCCTCCCTCCTGTAACTGTAATTATCCAGGAAAATGTGTAAGTTTCTCATCTGTCAATCATTTATAAGCATCCATATAAAGATCTGTAGTCCTGAAGTGTTTTTCAGTTATCAAGAGGCTTCAGCATGTATTGTTGCAGCTTTGGTTTCCATTAATACCTCTTTGGTCTTCAGTTATTTGCTAATTGCAATGCTGAATAAATAGTTTCAATGACTACACCCGATAGAATCAAACGAAGGAAGAGAACGATCAGCTCTCCAGATGTGAGGTGGGTCATTCATTCGTTAAGGAGTCTTGCTCTAAGAGATGAGAAGATTTGATTGGAGCTAAAAATAACGTTTTCCACTTGAAAAGAAGTGGACTGAAATTTAATCTGGCTTTATCCGTGTGCCGTGGCAGGCTGCTTGGCCTATAAATAAAACCATCCTGAACACAAAGAAGAAGATCTTGAGTAGTAGAGTTTAATGACGCTGCTGATTACACAAAGACCTTCATATGGTATCTTCAGGGACCTTTAATACACCTTTTGAAATGCATTTATATGAGTCTGTCTTCACTTTGTCATACAATATTAGACAACTGGGCTTTTTCATTTTTTGGCAGATTCGCCTAAGGGGCAGTGCAACACTTGGGGCTCCGAAGAACCAGTATGTTTATCGAGAGGTAAAACTGAACCTGATACCATTCACTTAAAGGCCTTAGTGATGACACAATGTGTTTTCCTCATGGTTTGCACCTTCTGAATACCGGCAGTGGCTGTTAATCTTTTTAACCCCTACAGGAAAGTAGAACTTGCGTTTGGGACGGAATCGGTTTTTAAAATATATCTTAGAGATTCTCATCAGCGTTTATCAGATAAACCTTCTAAGGTCCAGGATTAGAACCCCTCAGACCTTCAAAGCTGCTTTAATTCCTCCTGGCTAACAGTCAACAGCCTGGGAAAGATAGATTTAAGATGCAGACATGTTTGGTCTTTAAAGACATGATTGCGGAGTTTAGCGTGTAGCCATCTTTGAGACACAGCTTTAGGGGTCTATGAGTCATGGGACAAGGCTTTAATACATTTGTTCTGACATTTTGTCATTTCGGTGACTGATTTTTGTGAGCCGCTAACCAGAAACAGGCCCTGATATTCCTCTCTAACCTCTAATAACAAGGCCATTTTTGCTTTGGGGTTCGTTCTTTGTTGTTTCATTCTCTGTTTGCTTTAACAAGCATCTGGACAGGTGTAATTAATCACAGCCTCCGGCTTTACTTTAGTAGGTGTAATCTGACACAGAGGAGGACGAAATGAGCTACATCCCCGGATCAATTACCAGTTTAAACCCTTTAAAACGCTGTTTACCTGCGCTCTGTTCTCCCTCAGCCTTGCCTGCCAATTTATGTTTCCGAGCTGAAGTTGGCGTTCTCCTTGGTGATGGGGATACAGTTTGGAAGTGGGGTGTTCTGGGTAAGTGTTTGTTTTGGCTCTTTTTGACATTCATACTGTACATTCAATGAAGACCAGCTCAACCCTATACAGCACAGCTCAAACAGTTGACGTCTGACATTAATTATTTGTCTTTTTCAATCCTCTGTACCCTTTCCCAGATTGTTTTACTTGTCATGAGTGTGAAGCTGATGGGCCAGATAAAAAGGAAACAGGAGTTCCTGGCTCTTCTCCAGTCAAACAGATACGTTCCTGGTGCTTTCTAGGACAAAGTTACTATTTCAGTTTTAATATACTCTTGAAATTACTATCAAGCATACCTGGTTTGCACATAATGCTGTATACTATAACCTGACTATTTTGTGCTGTAGCAATACATGTTATGATTTTCTTCATGTTAATGCATGGAACTGGTGTTTTAGAGTAATCTACATGCATAAATCAATGTCAAATTAATCTATGGAGCCTTACTGCTGTAAAAAAAAAAGCAATTTAGTTCAATTTACCAGTATTTAAATAATAATAATCACACTTTCACATGCTTTTCTCACATCTGAAATTGTGCCCCTGGTAAATTTTTGCCAAATAGTTTGTTTTCTATAATCAATTGGCAATTTTGTCTAGGATCTTTTTACTGGGGGCCAAGCAGGGAATCTCTTTAACGTGTTTATCTTCTTATGTGAGTTTCCCTTTCTTATCTGGGTTCATGGTGTATTACAGTCCCTACAGCTGTATGCTAAAGCATCTAAAGTATAACTGTGCGTGTGATGATTTAAATATTCTCCTGATAATAAGCTATTGATGGATTACTGTCCGATTCCTTGCATTCAGATATCTGTTTTGATCATTGTAGCTTCAAAATGGATTTCAGGAAAAAGTATACAAGTCTTCACAGGTCCATGTTCTTTCCCACTTCTGTCTTCACACATTTGCACAGATTATGCTAATATGCTAAAACCAGGCTGACAAATGTCATGCCTCAATAAGCAGTAATAAAATACCAAATAAACAAAAAACTTACTATCAACTTTGGTCAGTTAAAAGTGAAAAAAAAAAGCCCAAAAAGTGTCACTAAAATAAAAACGCTTTTCCACTGGACCCTCACTCTAATTTAAGAGAGCACAATCACATTCTGCATCATTTGACCTCAAGAGGAGACACTCCATTTTACAAAATATGTTTAATGCCTTTTAATGTGTGTCTGATGTTCAAAGCTAAGGCCATCAGTTGTGCGAGCCTAATTGAAATAATGGATCTAAAGATTGGCTTTGGACTATTGAAAGTATATTAGTGGCTTCATAACAAATAGTAAGATATTAATGTTGTGTTGATGATATACTTATTGGTAATGGGATATGATCTAATCTTATAAAACATGATGCAATTTAAGTTCATTTGATTTTTTTAACCAGTTATTAATTGTTTTTAGTTAAATTTTTCCCAAATAACAGTTGTAAAAATGTAATTGATATAAGGATAAAGCACATATTCAGTTACAATTGACTGAAACCAACAAACAGGAAGTGCGGTCAGTAGTTACCAACATCATAATTGTAGAGAACACATTTTTCTTGTCACTGATGAATATGTTGAACTCGTTCAGATCCAGAATCCTAAACAACTGCTTGGCCTCCTTCATTGCTGCTCACTCTGCTGCGTAGATTCAGCATTTTCATATCTCTTTTCTTCATTCATTCTGTCACATCTACACGAGTTACATGGGTTGTGTTGATCGTGAAAGCCGTCCACTTATAGTGAAATGACCAAAACATATGGACATCCACTTATACTTCTGGATATCTTGTACTGGTTCGGTTCGAGATATCCAGGTAAGTGATTACAGATGCCCAAAAAAAGATCTTCTTCCATGTGTCAGTCATTGCTTGAGTGTCAATGCAGCTAAAAAAGCACTAATTAAAACCTAATCATCCTCAGATAGTCGTTAAGGTCTCAAGATTTTGTATCGGATAAAGAATAATGCTTTTTCTTCCCCCGCACATGATGTTTACACACATCAAACCAAAGCCTTCTCACACTGACTGGTCAGTATTACAACGACAAACCGAATTCATCGAACAGTGTTCTAACTTTTTTTTGTTTTTTGAGTTCAAGGGTTGTACATATGGTACCAGAAATCTCATAGCTGTGTCCAAGTTCGTCAGTTCATAGGTTTTTAGCTGAACTTGACATTTTGACTTGCGTTTGACCTTTGTCGTAAGCACATGCTGAATTTTCAGCAATAGAGACACAACTGACCTTTGAAAAACATTAACATTTACGTTCACACCTTTCTTCAACAGTGTTTACAGAGTGCTTCTGTTGTACTATAACCGTCTATCAAGAAATGTATATTCTGTGTTATTAATCAGGTTAGACAAAGGAATGAGTCACACTCATTGTGACGAGAGAATGTCTTAATTCCTTGTTATGCACATTGTATATTTCAAAATGTCATGCGCTCAGTTTTTTCTAAAAGCACAGTTAAGAAGTAAACAGTATGCATCGTTTCCCTGTGGAGAAAAAGGGAGTTGTTTCTGTTGCACATCCAGTAGACATGCAGTAACGAGCATAATTTATTTTTGATTTGACCATTTGGAAAAAAATGTTGGCAACTGCAAAGAGGTGGAGAGAGGCTCTGGTTGGAAAACGAATCATCGATATTCCTGCAGAGACTGTAATGTTCCAGCTGATGCCCCTCTCACCGAAGAAGCCTTTATGCCACACCACTTCTATTACGACTTGCTGCATGAACTGCCTGCAGTTCAGATCTCTCCTTGGCACATATACTGTCAAATGAATCTCATCTGGAAAAGCAGATCCAATGTCTACTTGTGCACTTTAACCGTTTATGCCTGATAAACAGTATGTTCTTGCAAAATATGGTGTTTTTATTTCTGTCGCATATTGTTTTTTAATTTTATTTATGGAGTGATCTTCATGTAATATTTTGTAAATAGCAGGAATAAAAATGTGATTATTGTTTCTTGTTTGCATTCATTTTTTTTATTTTATTTTTTAAGTTTTGATTCATAAAGATTGCAATTTCCAGTAGTACAAGTTTCAGGTGGAAGCCTTTGTTGTTAGGCTTACTGTAACCCAGTGGTGGGCCGTCAGGGCCTGCAAGGCCTTCTCTGAAGGCCTAAGAAAATATCTGAATCACAGACTGATGTTAATGATATTTTGTCCATAAAAAAGGTATTAAATATCTCTAAATAGTCTGTCGGCTTCCTTTCATAGCTTCTCCCCTGGTTGCGCTGCTTCCAGACATGTATTTTCATACAAAAGCATTTAACGAATCACATTTCAGACATCCTTTGTCGCTAGGCAGGGTCAAAGTCAAAGATGTCTGCCTGGAGGCCTTCACAATCCGTTCTGCAGGCCCCCCCCCCACAGAAAATACATGTCGAGTACACTGTTGCTTCAACCAATCAGATGTTAGGTTGGTGATGCCAGGGCCTGCGCGAAGGCCCAGGAAATGCCACCGTACCCACACCCGCTGATTGGATAGTCAGATATCCAATCAGGGCAAAGCTAGCAAACAAACCGAAATATAGTTGTGTTAGTTAGTGTAATAGCTATTTTATTATTTCGTGGCGGATTTACTGTCAAGACCATTTTCAAAACGGACTTTTCAAGAAAAGTAAGTGAGTAAAATGTTGTTCATTTCCTAAATGGTATTGCGAGTTTATGATGACATTATTGATGTTTTTGTTTTGTTTTGTTTTTTTTGGGGGGGGGGTTGCAGCTGTAGCTGCAGGAGTAGAAGGTGCACCCCTGATCTTTATACTGTATTTTAGGATCCTGATCCGATATTTGGATCGTATCGGCCGGCATGAGAAAATGCCAATCGAGACTCCAGATACATTTTTTTCCGATCCCACCCGAGCATTAGCATTAGCATCTCCTAACCCACAGGTCTGTGTAAACTTTAGTTGTTATAAGAGTAAATCCCTGTTCAACATGAGTCTGACAACTAAGTAAGTAGAAAAAAAAATCAACTTTAATACAAAAAGCTGGATCGGGACATCCCTACTGTATTTCTACATATTAAGATGATTTCTATAACCATAAAATAGTTATTGAGGGGTGAATTGATTCAGACGGAGCACTACTGAAGGCCTAGGTGTAAAATGCACGGCCCGCCACTGCTGTAACCAGGTGGTGGAGACAAACACAGGATTTTTCTCAGATTTAGAATAAGGAATACGGTTCATTAGTATGGGGAACCTTACAAAAACACACATGGAAGACTTATGGGGAAAAGATTGCGCTAAAATGGGAAACCTTTTTTATCCAATCTATGCCTTGCTTGGTCACTTTGATTATACCAGCTGCAAAAAATCAGTTGATTTGCTTTTTAAATGTCTTTGGAGCATTACAAAACCATAAAATACAGCCACTCACATCAAAACCATTAGAGACCTCTAGTCTTACACAAGGCTTTTCTTTCAGAAAACTTTGTTTGAAGGATGCAAACAAATCAGACTGGTCACACCTTCAGTCATTGTGTATATATGGAGCATCTGCCAGGCTGCCGTAGGGGTCAGCTTGGGCCTCTTTACTGTACATCACTGTAGTGGTTTCTTCCTTACGGCTCATTTGGCATAAGATGACCACACACAAAAACAACTGACAACGCCTGCAGCAGAAAAGACAGCATTTTACTTCTGGTTGATCTTTGGATTTAATTTCCCATGGAAATTGGCATTCAGGTAAAATATTACAGATGAAATGAATGTAATGTGAATATAGTACTTGCAGAATAGAACAGATATATAATGGAAAAGTACTTTATTCATCCCCAAAATAGAGAAGTGGATTTATTTTCGCAGTCCCTTGTTCAACTCTGAATTTTGTGGAAGATATCAACATTTAAGACATTTTGTTATCAACATCAAAATTTGAAATGGTCATATGTTTGGAATAAAATATCCATATTTTGAAAAAAAATATATAACTGAAAACATCTAATTAAAGGGATGTTAGTTGGGAAAAATGCACGATGATACAAGGAACAGTCACACTTACCCACAACGAGGAAATGTCCAACATTGTGCCGTATATATAGCTCGGAACATAGTTAAATAATATTGATTTATGAATGGAAGGCATGGCTGAAACAGGAAAATCAAACAATCAGTGCAACTTACAGCTTGGTCATTTAAAACTTGTGATAATTTGAAAACTGACATTCTAACCACTGCTAACATGGTTTAAAGTCGCTTAGTGTCTCTTTAAGAGAAGTCACCTGACGGTCACGTGACGCGGAAGTAGGCTGCATTGTTTCAGCGTGGATGTGTTTACAAGCGTTTCGTTGTCACGTCTCCTGACAGTTCGCTGCGTAAACAAACAGTGAGCAGTTGTTGTCTTATGATCTTTACGCATTTTTGATCCGATTTCTGCGCCGCAATGTGCGCCGTTTCCTCTATTTTAGCGGGCCCAGCTCTCTGCCAGCGAAGTGCAGGCAGGTTAAAGGTACTACTCTAAAAAATAGGCGGAAAATTGCGCGCAAACATCCAATTATTCCTAGAAATAAAGCTCGTAGCGCCTTCCCAAGAATCCTGGTGCGTTTTTCCAAGTTGTGGCACAACTCTGGCGGCCTCTAAACACCTTTCGGGTTTGTATATTTGCGTTTTTGTTAAGTCACAAATGAACTTATTAAGAATATAATGACACGGCTGGAGCCACGTATGTCTAAACCATTAATTGGAATCAATTTCTTAGACAAATACAGTCGTTTTGTGTTTTCTAACTTGATGTTTTTGTTTCTTTTGTGCCAGTAACGACTACATCTGAGTGAAGTGACGATGAGGCAGGAAACTGCGGTTGTTAACGTCCCGACGCACTTCATTTCCAACCACGAAGGCTTCCTCGGAAGTATCAAAAACGTGACGGAAGATTTTGTGGTGACCGAGATCGATATTCACGGACAGAACGTGAACACAGCAGCATCCGGTCACACACCCGGCGGAGCCTGTAACGATGAGAGCAAAAGCGGCGCAGAGCTGAAGGACAGCAGCCATTCCTCTGGGTCACATGACCCCGCCGTGTCCTCAGAGTGGGGGGTGGACATCCCACTGCCCACCTTTGAGAGTTTTGACCTGGATGTCATTTTAGGTCAGTCGGTCAGTGAAGAGCTGGAGCAGTTCGTGTTGACTCTCAGAGACAAAAAGCCGGCCGAGCTGGAGCTTTCTCTGGGGTTCTTTACGGACAAACACCAGAGGGCCAACGTCCACCGGGCGGTCAGGCACCGCTTCCCCTTCCTCATGACGGTCACCATCCAGCCGGAGATCAGGGTCAGGGAGGACCCGGATTACAGGGAGCTCTCCCGGCTGGTTAAGGACGATGAGGCGGAGGACTTCTTCAGGTTTATAGACGCCAAAGTGCGCGGCTCCTCGTACACGTTCGGACCCGACGACAACAAAGAGCACAGGACGGCCGTCCACCACTTCCTCAACCGACGGTTCGGGAAACTGGTGGAGACCAAAAGCTTCAGCGACCAGGGGAGGACGTCCATCTCGGTCAGGCTGAGAGAACACGGGAGGCCGAAGAAAAGAACAGCGGAGGAACGCCGGGATGAGGACATCTACACTGGTGAGCTTCTTACAGATTGTTTTGTTCCAGTTGAACCCCTTTGGCCTTTTTAGGAGTCACCCCCTCTCACCTGGGCTGTGTTTTGTGTGCACCCCCTAGCATTCACGCTGTGTAAGGAGAACCTGGAGACTCTGGAGGCCATCAGCTACATGGCAGCCGCTCTGGGGGTCCTTCCCTCAGATTTCACCTACGCCGGGATCAAGGATAAGAGAGCCATCACCTACCAGGCCATGGTGGTCAAGAAGGTCTCCCCCCAACGGTAGTGGCGACGCCGAGCTCGCGACACAACGCGAAACGTCCCGCTGGTTTTCAGATGCTCTCTTTCTGACGGCTTTTGGCTTTTTTTTTCGTAAGGTTCAAGGAGAAGACGGCAGAGTTTGAGAAGAGGGGGATGCGCGTGTCCCAGGTCCGATCGGTCAGCGAGCCCCTCCGGCTGGGCCGGCTGCAGGGGAATCACTTCGACCTGGTGGTCCGCAACGTCCGGCCTCACGGGGCGCCTGACGCCCAGCCCAGGGGGGCGGATGTGCACCCCCACCTGGCCGCACTCGTAAAAGAAGCAGTGGAGAACGTAAAGGTACTGCCAATATGCCTTTCTTCTGATTTAGCGGAAAAGGAAATCTTCTCAAGTGTGTCGCACCTCCAAATCCATTTGAGCCACCACTGTCCTACAACAGTTCAAATACATTCTTCTTGATTTTTTTTTTTACTATTTAGACAAAAGGATTTGTCAACTACTACGGACCACAGAGGTTTGGCAGCGGGCAGAGCGTTCACTCGGATCGAGTGGGACTGGCTCTGCTAAAAGAGGACATGGTAAGATATTCACCACCAGCTTTGGCCAACAGTTTGCTCTAAAACAGTCACACTGTCCCCGACTGGCAATGTCAGCTGTATTTATACATCATGTTCCGAATACCCCAGGTCTGAATAATAAAATATTTATAGAAAATCAGGAAAATGGGTCAATAAAATGACAAAACAGACCCATAGGCGGTGGAATCACATTTCTGTTAAAGATACACAGTAAAAACAAAGTCTCTTACCTTTTTATAGGGTGTTTTCCTCCGTTTTATTTGTGTGGAAATTTGCTTTTGTGTGTCAGGTAGGAGCTGTTCGTCTCTTCTTCACTCCAGAAGACGGAGATGAACCTCAGAGTCAAGCAAAGAGGCACTTTGTCCAAACAGGTAACGCGTTTAGTTTCTCCAGGAGATATTTAGGGTTATGTGTAAAATCATAGCACGCATTTTGAAAGAATAAGGAGCTCCTTTCAAGCATTTTGCTGTTAAGTTTGTATGTGTTTAAATAGTATAACCACTATATGCAATGTTTGATCACTTAAGTTCTGTTTTTGGGACTGAGTGTGTAGCATTTTTTCTTAAGAATTGTTCCATTTTCTGTTTTTTGACGTCAGATAACGCTAAAGAGTCTCTGGTGTTGATGCCACTGTCCAAGCCCAGAGAGAGGCTCATGCTTCGGGCCCTGAACCGCTACGGTACTGGTCCAGACGGCTGTGTCCAGGCCTGGCTCAGCCTGCCCCACAGCATGAGGGTCTTCTATCCTCATGCCTACTGTAGCAGGTCAGCTTCTTCAGAAAACCAGTCTCTTGGGGTCATAAGGCTAATATTTCACAATGGTTGTTAAGTCATTTAAGATCAGTTTCCAGTCCTGAAGTCCTTCCTCGTGAGTTATGTTGACCTGTTTGTTTTCTCAGAGTTTGGAATGAGGCCGTGGCACACAGGCTGGCCACGCTGGGACATAATGTCAGAAAAGGAGATTTGGTTTGGATGCAAATGGGACAAAATGAAATAGAGGACACTGCAGAAACCAGCTCCCCTCAGGTACGAAAAATTAGTAATGTCCAGCGACATTATTTTATGCTCTCATGTCCCAGAAGTCCAATTTTATAATTCATATATTCAAGTTCAGGGGTAATATGATAATATATAACATATTGTTGTAATGGGAAAGCGTAACTCTATTATATATGTAAATTAGTCCAATAATTACTTTAAAGATCAGTGGATACGTATCATGTTATTTTAATGCATATTCAACCAGGAAAATATGTTTTTAAAGTCTAATTTCCCCATTGTGACGTCCGGGAAGGAGGACATTTGCTTTCAACCAGATAGTACAGCTATAAGGTGCATCATTTTTTTTTGCCGTGGTTAAATATTAAGTTTAAAGTAAAAAAAACTCATCTTATCAGCAATAAGCCCTAATTGCAAAGAAAATGGGCAAAAACAACAGAGTCTTTAAAACAGAGGGTGAAAAACAGCTCCTCAGAGCTGCAACATATCTTTAATTTATTTACTTTTCTGCCCCTCAAGATCCATGTGGTTACAGATCAGGAGGAGCAAGCAGGAGTCTACGCACTGGAACAAGTACGGAGTGTACTAAATGATGTTCGATGCCTCCAATAAATACAATAAATAGCACGATAGATAACATTTTTATTATCTCATCAGGTGGTACTCCCAATGCCGGGCAACACCGTGAAATATCCAGAAAATGCCATGGGGCCGTGGTACCAGGAGAGACTGGCCAGAGATGGCCTGGCTGACTGCCGCTTCAGAGTCAGCAGCCTGAAACTGAACCTGCCCGGCTGCTACCGCCCCGTCCTGGCCGTCCCACACAAGCTCCGGTACCAGCTGAGGCAGGGCTCGGACTCCGACTCGCTCACCTTAAACTTTGACCTGGACTCCTCCTGCTACGCCACCATATGCCTCAGAGAGATCATGAAGTGTGACCCTTGAAACGGATGAATTTTTGTGTTTTTCTACTCTCATCGTCAGTGGCCGTGGTGCATCCTAGTATTGGTTTGTTGTTGTTGTGAGCAGAAGAGTGTCAAACGAAAAAATAAGAAAAAAGAAGGTGCAGTTAATAAAGCCTATAGTTCAAGGAAGCTGCTGTTTAATGTGAACAGGTTCAAGTCCAGCAGTATGTAAACCGTATCATTTTTGTGCTGCTAATAAAAATGTTGAGTAACCACCATCATTAAATTCATTTTAAATCTTCCTCACGAGACAAATCTGGAAATCTGGCGTTGTTACTCCTCTTTTTGCTTGTGGAAAAAACCTAGAAACAGATTACTTTCTGAAGCCATTCCACACCTAGAAAGTTTTGAACGGGCTATTTCAATTTTGACATTTTTCATTAGTTCTCATTCTTTTCCTTCTTAAAATTTTCCCATCGATGATCTTAAGATGCCCGGGTCAGTGTCAGTGCCATCCTGACTGACCCCATATCTGGTCATCTATGCGCTCACAGGCACAAACATTCATGCGATAAAAGGGATGAGACGCTTTTAACTTGAAGAACGTTATCTTCTGTGCTAAACAGGATGTCTGCAGTGTAAATCATGTGTCCCACTCCCCCTGCGTGTGGAGTTATCAGTGTAATGACACATGATCAGACCACTACCGTTACCAGGATTCACAGCGCTGCTTTTTGAGTGTGTTGTCCCCTGAACCCACTAGATGGAGACAGCCAGCAGAAAATCCGTCCCAGCTCCTGTCTGTGCCTCTGGTCGGTCAAAACGAGCTTGTTGGAGAGCAACTCAGAAATATATTTGCTGAAGTAAGTATCTGCCATATAAATGGTTATCTGGACGTCATAATTAAGGAATATTAAACTCACTCATTAATAACTAAAGTGATATACAAATCTGAGGTGTTCTACTTTCCCATCACTGCAATGAAGAGTGACTCAGATACAGGTCCAGCGCTCCATGAAACCAAGAATAATTGGTCTGATTCCGTTCAGTGGATAAGTATTATACGCTATATTTGTCAGTTAGAGTTCTCCTTCACTGGCTAATAGCAGCAAGCAACTTTTTCTCCGCCTGGGGCCACTTCCTGGTCCATCCGGCTGTGGATAAATGTTGACCCACTTCAGTGGCAGAGATGACAGAATTATTACATGTCTCGCTTCTGGAAAGATAGAGGGAAGGCGAGAGAGAAAAGAGGAAGTCGAGGGTTATGAAAGACATTTAACTTCAAAGTATGTACATTTCTCCTCCAGAAGAAGGATGCGGGAACGGGTATGAGAGGCCATGTCTAAGTGTCCATTTCCCCCCCAGTCAGATAGCTGATTATTCTTATTAAAAGATCTACAAAGGTGTAAAACAAAAAGTTAATTTGAGATGCATTTTCTTATCCCACGTGACTCAGTAAAGTGGTACAGATTGTTTTTTGTTTTTTCATAAGACAAGAAACTTCAAATTGAAAATGTCAGAGGTGTCAAAAGGCTTTTACAGTATAAGAAAAATAATGTTTATTTTAAAACACTGAACCAGGACAGATACATGATAACAGCCTGAACTGCTAAATAAGCATAATTCATGTTTCTTTAGGTGTTCAAGTTAATTTAAAAGCAGACACACTGCAAATGAAGGCAAACATCGATGATTAACCCAAAACATTTGAAACGCCTTTGACGTGACAAAAAACCTTGGCTTGATTGGCAGGCGTTGCTGGATTTTTTAAGTAGAGCAGACACTGATACGCACGTGTACCTGTGAGTGTCTTGAACTTGTCTGTGCCTGAGCGAGATAAAGTGTCTCCGAGTGTGTTTGTTGTTGTTTCTAGGCCCTGTCAACCGTGCTGCTGCCGGAGCCACCGCTGAGTGTTGTCCGACGTGACGTTCTGCGTACACGAGGTGGCTGTGGACGATCAGGAGAGGTTGGAAAAGCACAAATAAGTTTGCCTTTGTGACAGTGCGTTTGAAAAGATACGACAGCACTGGAGTGCAACTTTGACGGTGAAATGCTTTTTGTTTTTTCCAGCTGCCACTGAAAATGTGAACATTAGCTGTTCAGTCTTTTTGGTTGCAAAGTGCCTTTTCTGGTACATTCACTATTGGCATTTTTTACCCATTTGTCTAGTCTAAAGCTAACCCTATTTTTTAAGCAATATTCTGGTACTTTGATTCCGAGGCTTAGAGCTAATAATCCTTGAAATTTCAGACAAAATAATCAAGATTTAGACAAAACGTCCATGCAAAACATTCGTCTTTGAAGCAGTAAAAACGCTGGTGTCCAGAGACGTGTGACTGTTTCATTTTGGGACTGTGACATTCAACAGTAGAGCCACCGGTGCCTCTGCAGCCTGAGGCCGCCTGATCGCCCCACTTACAGCACTCGGTCAGCGTTCCACGTGTGAGAAGCCTGCGTGTGGAAAATGCGCTGGCCTGATAACTGCGGCTGAGCTATTGACAAGTGGAAGGGACGGGCCGGGGAGCAGCGCCTGAGTGCAATTAGATTGATTAATGATTACATTAATGTTGCAGATCTATGGCGGAGTCACTGTTTACTGTGCATCCAGTTGGATCTATAATCAACATGGTGTCAAGGGAAATGAATATATTTATATACAAACTCTACTTGCAGCTGAAACAGATGTGATGAGGACGTGTTAAGCTGCATCAACAGCATTATTAGAGCGGGGAATGATGAAAAACAGCATGCATGCTCAGGATTCCTTCACCTGAGGAGGTCAAACTCACCCTTTTAAACCATTACACGTTCATCTATTGTGTCAAAGTTTTAGAACAGCGTTTTGTCAATACCCGCAAGTTTATTTCAACACACTCTGTGGGACATTCTGGTTGCTTCCAAGGTGGAAAATTAAGAGAACAGAGAACAGATCAAGAACAGCTCCTTTATATCATAAGATCAATAAGATATTAGAAAAAAAAAATATCTGGCTGCTTATGTAAAAGAGAGCGATTGTTGACTTTTGGATGTGGCTTGTCACAGAGACTAGCCAGTGGAAAAAGTTAATTTCCTGCCCTGTTTGTGACCCAAAAAACGGCCCAACTTTTAACGCTCTCTGGGACAACACCAGCAGGATCGTGGTAAACTGCCCGAACATGAACTATTAATGGCTTACTTGCTTCAACTGGGAATTTTTCTCACACTGTAAAAGCTGAGGGGGAAAAAAACTGTTAAACTGGGCCTTAGCACACTGAGCGCTCTATGTCAGAGCAGAACAATCTGTCGACTAGCTGCAAAGTACAGGGAGGCGAAGGCTCATTATTTTTAATGGCAACTCTCTGCTGTTGAGAAAGAGGGACAGTAACTTCACCAGCATTCTGCTGACTGCAACATGTAGAGCTTGTTGACCTGAAATGATAGGTTGACTAAAAAGTATCCAAAGTGTACAGCTTTTGCATCCGTGCTTAAAAAAAATCGTACATTATTCTTCCATTTTTGCAATACAGCTTCATACCAAATGAGCATAAACAGACAGTTTTAAGGGAATGGAGTGATTACCTTGCCGGGGAAGCCGAATTCTCGCAAAATTTGAGAGACCATAATCACGAGAGAATTGTTCCTGCATCTGTAGCCGAGGGGCAGTGAGTCAGACCTGTAGGGTCAGCTAATGAAAGACAGACTGGATGGAATTTTGTGCATTTATAGGGGTGCTGTGATGACAGAAACAGTAGCCTGGCTATAACTTATAGGCATAGAGAAAATGTGTATTTTCTCTCCTTTTGCTTACCTTGAAAAGACAAGGAGAGCAATAAAAAAACAACTTCAAATTCAAAATGTTATCTCTAAATGGTACCAACGGAAGGAGACTGGTAGATTTTACAGACTTTAAGAAAAGAGACATCAGGGATCAGTGAAACATTTCTGGACTGTGAACAAAATTTGCCTTTCAGGTGGAAATATGGCTGCTGGGGATCAGTTTGAATACTAAATGTTGATTTTCTTTTATAAATACAACCGTGTTCAATAATAATGATAAAGCTGAGTGAGTTTTCAACAACATGTCAGTTACCTGATTGTCAAGCTCACATCTACCAGACCTTTTATGGCCTGAATCTGCTTTTCTGTGGACCATGTCTGTTCCGTACTGTTCCTTCCTTCCTATCCTTTATGCCAGGCCCTTGGGTCACATCTGGCTTGCATAATACTTGCAAGTGCCATAACTGAAAAGAAGTCCAGATTCGGTCCAAATGCGCCCACTATTTCAGTGAGTACTGGTACCATCGGTTTTAAATGGAGAAACTTAGCATGGAAGTGCCTTCAGCCTCCATTCTCTCTGATTACCAACAGAAGTTGAGTCCTGTGTTTGCAAAAACATGTCAGACTGATGAGAAATGTGGGCAAATAAAAACAAAACAAAGCAACAAATTCTCACTCTGTTCGCTCTGTAAACAGTTTCCATATGAGTTTATTGTTTCAACTGCTTGTTTTAAATCCTCCTGATTACAGCACCATGTCTATTTAATAAATCAGTGGTATAATTAAGAGTTGGGCTACCTTGAGTTGAGTTTACATGATTGTAGTTCAGAATTTCTGGTGCAAAAAGGAAACAAGACTTTCAAATGGGATTCTACAAACTAGGGGACAAAAATCTTTCATGATCAGCTAGGTTTCAGCCCCTTGTCTGATATATTCATGTTAAATTAATATACCTACCGTAATTTAGAGCCTCCCCTCTGCTTTTGTTCAATATGTTCAGTTCTTACACCAAAGCATCACAGATCCTTGAGCAATTATCATGAATTAAGCAGTGTCTTGTCTTGTATTTTATACTTCATATAAGAATATTCATTCGTAAAAAAATGAATTAAAAGATATGTTTGATACCTGTAAACAGATTGGACTCAACTACTAATATAAAATGAACAAACTCCTTTGCTACTCAGTGTCTAATTCCCAACTCTTGCCCTAAATGTTACAGAGCCTACTCCATCTAAATTGAATTCCAAACCAAAGCTTTAGTCTGAAAGAGAGTGGGTGCGACAGAAATAAAAACTGGCCGCAGTGTCCTAACAACATTCCCAATTTCAAAGGAGTCCTCAGAAAGAGAGCTGAGCAACTACACACAACATTCCTTCCCAGGAGGCGAATGGCCGCGTCCTTTCACTGTCGGCGGCCTCTCTCTTTAACATCCACCAGTGTCTTGGTGGTGAGGCTGGTTTGGAGCCTAACTGTATAGTCCTGTAATTACCTTGCTGACTAAATCCCGGCGGTGTGTGCGCGCTCATTTACGAAATGCATGTGTGCGTG